GGAATAAACAAACCTTCAAAACATAATGAATCATTCAGACAGCTTAGGAAGCATGCAAATAAAAACAAAGAGAAAAAATAAATAACCATGTCAATCTTGTAAATCAAGAAAATATTTGCAACGAGAAAAGGAAACAAAATGCATCTGAAAATTATCGTTTTTGAGTTTCACAAAAGCTTACAAAATAGCAAAGATTTTAAAATTCATCCAGGGTGGACGTGCAACTACCTTATGTTGCTCTCTTTGCTTCCTTCTATGACACACACACACACACAAACTATACAGAATGTAAATGGCCTCTACACAAACTGGTAAACGGTAACAACCATGCAGTATCTAAAATATATTACAATTCATGTCTTTCTTTGCTCTTTCTCCGATTGTTATATTTAAATTAACATGACTGGCAACTTTTATTTTCAAAATATTACTTGGACTTCTTAAAGTTATTGTTATAAGATCGAACTTTTCCTAAGGGCATCCTAACACAAGCACTGGTTCATGAATACAGAGTAAGGTCAGCAGCAGTTTATTCCCTGTGTGCCATGATACACTAGCATTAGCCAGACTCAAACTGTTGGCTTTCATTCTGCTGGCCTTGTTATAAGAGAAATGCTGTCAACTCTGAATACATTGTTGATTCACTCTCACCTGAACAACGCCAGCATAACACAACACAGCATGACTAATCACCAATATCTAACCCTCCTTCCAAAACACATCCATGATAACATGTCCACAAAAACATATCAGTCTACTTCCCCTATTAAGTGAATAATATACAAAAATGACAGACAGAAAGGCAGGCAGAAAGAGAGAGCGAGATAGAAAGAGGGAGAGGTCATCACTAATGAGGGAAGCAGGTGACCCCTGCAATTCAACAGTGATCCTATCAGCTTCCACAGGGTTAATCCCCTTTAGGCACTAATTGATAGGAGATAACATGATACTACTGCCATGGCCCTATTTGGTGTAACCCCTGCACTTTCACACATTGAGTGTCAGTGGGAGATCAGACGTGAAATTGATATTTGGGATGTTTGCGTGCTTAAGCGCAGCTCTTTCTTATCGAAGAGTTGCAGTGTTCGTTTAGTGTTTACGTCACAGACTCTTTGCTAGGATTAACCACTTGGCCTTTAATAACTGTGACCACTTCATGTGGTTTTCAACCCATCAACACATGCTTTAGCAGACCGGCTTCAAAACGAAATTTACCCCTTAACTGTTAATGAGTCTAAACGCTTTGACTGTTTGGCGAGCCTTAGCACCTGACAGAATAAAAAAGGGGATGGGAAGGGGTTAAATATGACTATGACCTCTTGAGATCAATCAAAACAACTGGAAACATATACAACCACAGCTAAAGACAAGGATACGAATAAAACAGAACGGCAATATCAAAAGACCAAATGAAGATACTCTTTAACAGCATATTGTTTAAATTTGAAGAAATATTTGGGATATCTAGTCACAGCTAAGAGGTTTGTGTTTATCAGTGATTTTGTGTCAAAACGTGGCATTCTGGGACTCATCGCATCGTTGCAAACAATTAAAGGCAATTAAGTGATCAGCAGCTGTGAAAAAGGAAAAGCGTGAGAGAGAGGGAGATATTTTATTTAAAAAAAAAACAGCTATTCCTTTATAGGGATGATGGAATGAATGACATTTCTTTCTACCTCTCCTTCAAAACTTAATGCACACGAATTAAACTAAATAAAACAAATTAAGAGTGAAACATAAATAACATCATGCAATGAGAATTTGCAACTTGCAATGAGAAAAAGGAAGCAAATGTGAGTTCCACAAAAGCCTGAACAATTAAGCTTTTGACTCATAGGCTGATCGAAATATACAAACAAAATAGCAAAGATTTCGAAATTCACTTAGGGTGCAATGTGCAATATTACGCACTAGCAAATAAAATCAGCAAGTAATTAAATAGAAATAAAAGTATACAAGGACACAGCACTTTAAAAAGTTATAAAATGTTCACACCTAACATTGAGCTGTGTGTTTGGCCTGACATGCTGTTGACAGAAAGCTATTTGAGGCAGTAAAATATAAGCATTTCCCACCCACATCATGAACTAAACCCAATAAACTACCCTTAGTGATGATTGGCATTTCATCATTGGTCATAGCCTTGAATCAGTTATGCTCGCTCTGGCTAGCGATTATTAAGTCGAAAGTTTACTATCCAGCTCAAATTATGAATGCTCTGTGAAATTTTGATGATGGCATGAAGTTCTTGTGTCAATCCTCAAGACAAATTTTCTGCAAGCAACGGTGACAAAGAATAAATGGCAGATCCTAAATTTGAACAGCTTTGTTTTAGTATGCGCAAAACGCAATTTAGCAGATTTTTGGCATAAAAGAATTCATGTAAATATGGTAAAAGGTATGCAATTAAAGAAACGGTACATAGTGCTTATATTTTTCATAGTGCAGGCAATTATGGAGATTATATAGAACATATAAAGAACTAATAAATAAGTCTGCATTTAAATTACAAACATACATAAAATTTTAGTCTAATCACTGATATGTTTGTCACTGTTCTCACTATTTATTGTCCCCAAGCACAATACCAAAATGGCTATACTGTATTATATAATCAATGAACATTATTGCATAATCTGTACATTACAACTGTCAGTATGTTTCAAAAGTTTATACATTCAACTTTTATTATACATGATCATCAGCACACAAGCATTCTAGAAATACACCAGGCAATTGTGAATGTAAATTTTCTACTTTCTATAATTTGTATTACAAATTTTATGATCATACTTAAAATTATTTTTCTATATACATTTTTAGCCATACCAATAATAACAGAAACGGCCCTCATAAGTCTCGCATTTCAAATCTTTTCCAGTTAGGAGCAAGATTTCAGGGCCAATGGGTCACTCAAGAGGCCGAATCTTCCAGAACATTGTGTACCTCAGATACTGTAGGACAAGGCCTCAGACTAAGCCACAAATCCACCCTCCACACACACACACACACACACACACACACACAATAGAACCTTTGCGGCTTTTTGCACACTCTAAACCAGTCTCGCTCAAATCACAATTGTATCACATGAATCGATGAAATATTTGTATTAAGCACAAATAGACACTTTTTTTCATTTAAAGGACTTTATTGCAATAACAACAAGAATAACACTGCTTACACAAATAATTCAATCTACAGCGATGAAACGGTTTCATTTAGTTTTTCACGACAACATCAATTTATCAAAGCAATTAAAAATAAATTGAACATTAATAGAAAGTGTATTTTCATGATTCGGCAAAACTATATTTTTAACAGACACTACACTTTTCAAAACGCATTCTTTTTTCCAAGATTTATATACTTCAATGAACGTTAACAACAAAATGAGCATACATTTTTATTTGTGCTATTTAAAACAGAAATACTAGTATATGATGGAAATCATCTTTAAGGAAAATCAATAACGATAGAAATATGGATAGGAAACATTAAACACAATATTCAACGAGAATGGCTAAAATTATTTTAAATAATAAATACACAATGAGTGATTTAATATGTTACTATCAGTCTAATGTGCTACCCAGGGGTTAAAAAAATCTAAACATGCTTGTGTAATATACAATGAAATAAGACAAATAACATTTCACAGCGGATTAAAGCACATCATTTACCAGTAAAATCCTCAGAGCCTGAAGGCACAATTTTATTTGGATATTTGTAACCAACAAACAAACAATATCACTTCCAGAAATGCATTCAAACAGCAGATCAAAAAATCTTTGTGTGTGGCAAAAAAAAAAAAAAAAAAAAAAAAAAATCATCTTTATGAATGTCATCATAGCTATGCGGAAGGTCAAAAGTACAGTAATAAAGAGCACATTTGCTTCAATTTGAGATTGGTAAGATTTGCACCCACAGCATCGTTCATAGCGTTCCATCAAATTTACAATATCATACGAAAAAATAAAAGAAATAAATAATCAATCGCAGCAAATTTTGGGCAAATCTATCACATTCGTTTAACAAACGAATTTTGAACGACAAAAAAAAAATAGCTAAATATTGCAGGAGAAGCCTCAAGTCTGAACTGATTCACGTAGCAAAATCTGGTACTGTGGAAAGGGTATCCATCTTCCTCTGCAAAACTCCTCCCTAAAATGGAGGCAGCTGTCCTAATACATCCAACGTCTCGCTCCAGCACTTGGGTAAAGCTTTGAGAAGAGTCAGACGGTACACTGCCATCAGCACGAGGACATGAGTAAAAGGAAGAACGCAACTAAGCCAGGACAGCCACCAAAAAGAGAGAGGCTCTAGGCTTTGGCTGCCTGCCAGTGATCCCTTTAAAATGCCATTGTGGCTTTGATATTGAATATATGCAAGCAATGCAGGAGAGTGAGATCCTTGTTCTTTCACACACCAAATCCATAAGCTCGCTCCACAAGAGCTACAGAGGGACCCGGGGGGCGCTGTTGGACACTGCAATAAAAATGGCTGCCATCTTCATTTTGTGAGATATTATTTCTCACAAAACACACACACAAAAGGATTCCAGCAGCTTTTTAAACATCCAGATGAAGCCACAAAAATACTATTGTAAAGACTCTCCCTGTAACCTTCACATTTAAACTTGAAGCTGTTTCTATACCAGACTGTTTTTTTACCTGTCCATTAATCAACCCGTCTAATCATTATGTTCAATGAAGAAATCAGTAAGAAATTTGTATGAGAAGCGAGTACTGGAAATGATTGGTGTGCCAAGCTGAAAGTGCGATTACTCAGCAACATTTCAAACGTCACATCTGACAAAGAAAAATAGAGACTCGTTTCGGTTAGCATTAGCCTCTCAGATGCACACTCATCAGCCTGCAGGCTTTCATAATCGCACCTTTGCACACATCTCTGCATTCCTGCCGTTCCACCTCTCTCTCCATGACATGCCCAAATGTGCTTCACAGAGTACTGGGTGGGAAATGCCCTTTTAAACCTACCGTCAGCACGGCAGCTCAACTCCAGAACATCGGCATCACCTTTCAGTGTAGCTCAATCTTCCTGCCTGTAAAGAAAGCCCAAACACAAAGAATTCAAATTAAGAAAAGTTAATAAATAAGTAAATATCTATCTATCCATCTATCTAGTATCCACTTCAATTGACAGACCTGACGTGTCATAATTATGTTTAGATTTCTTTACACACATATTATCACAATTACATACATTTTTATTCCACATTCAATTTAAAAACCTCGCTATTTTTATCATGTTCAGTAAACATGAAATCATATCAGATGGCTAAAATAATTTATATCATTGTGGAAGGATAAAACATCTGATAATACTTGAAATATATACTAATAGAATAAGAACAAAATTCCATCAACATGTTGTTGATGTGGACAAATTTTTTTTCATTTTCAAAAACATACACCAAATGTTTTTACGGCCCTGTGAGCTAAACAAACAGGCTTACACTTACACACACAGCTTGATCAGTTGAACCATGACATGCTGTAGCCTACTTGGACACAGATAGGCCTTTAAGGTGAACTGATATTCAGAAGTGTGCAGCGGCGCATTTATAATACCATCAAACATTACATTAATGAAAGCATCAAAATGAACACGTATGTGCTAATCTGCTCAAATTGGCAAAAAGTATCTGTAAATCAGTGAGCGCTGAAGGCAACAAAAATTCTTAACCAACAGACTTAACCAAATTTCTTTAAGAGTCTCATAGTGAGCCACGCCTATTCGAAATTAACCATGTGCCTCAATTTAATATAGGCTACTCCATTTAAAAAATACGGAATAACAGATACCAATAACAAAAAAAAAGCATAAACGCGAAAGCTTATTTGCAAAATTACTGTTTAAAATAGGAATAATTAAGTGCTTAATATCATTAGTATTTTGCCAACATACTGCAAAATACAAAAATCTACATAAACTTTCCTATTTTTTTTTAGCAAATTGTAATTTTAGCAATTGCAAATTGTAAATTCTAAGATAAGCGTTCACAGCACAGTAGGTCTAAAATTTATTCTGTAATTAGTTACTAAGATTTTTGAATGGAACCCTTACTTTCTGTTAATCATTATCATATGAGACATTGCAAAATAAGACTCTTAAAATTCTAAATATATATTTCCTATTGTCTCATTTAAAGTATTTTTTTAATCATTGCGTCATATGCAAACAGATCTTATAAAACCCCAGATCTACTACAAAAAGAATTACACAATTTACACCATAACCTTGTGTGACCTTCAACGATGAGGTCTACTTATTTTATTTTTTACTTGTTATTTCTTTGTGCTTAAATATAATTAATAATAATTACATATCATATGCACCAGTGAAGGGAAGACAAGGATTTTTTTAAATATACATTTATGTCTATTCAATTTATTATAATTTGTAATATATATATATATATATATATATATAGCTTAGATATTTTTTATTTTATTTTTATTTCTTTATTTCTTTATCACTTTACACGCACTCAAAACATGATATAAAGGAGGGACCACTATAGCTACCAATGTATATCCTTGTGCCTCCTGTGAAGCAGCCATCTTGTTTTGATTATGACTGAAAATCTGAGTCCTATGACTGTTTTATTTATAACAATATCAAACAGAGATGTCTCTATCTGCTTTAAAACTATGAATGCATGAACATGCAAAACAAAGCCAAATGGGCAACAGATTCGTGCTTTTTTTCAAATCTGGACCAATATGAACAATCGGTCAAAAAGGGCAGATTTAGCACAATTTATGAAAGAAAGCAGACCTATTCTAACACTCAAAAAACTTCAGACCAGTAAATACAAAGTTAAGTTAAGAAATGACTAATCTGCAAGGATCTGCATGGAAGTCTGTTAGCATATCTGAAATGTTTTGGTCTGCATGCCACAGATGAATCCTGACACATTTTGATTGACATTCATGATAAAGACAAAATAATGCCAGAATCAATTTATACCTTCATACAGCAAGACATAATATGGTATCACAAAAAATATAATCGAAATAGGATTTAAAAAAGCCTAATTAAGAAAATGCCTAGTTATAAACAACCTCATTAAATAGTAAATAAAGGGGAACCTTTTTACTACACTGAATATTTCTCATTATTTTCTGCAGTCAATAACTTAAAGTCTTTGCCATACAACAAGATATAGAATATTTTTAACATTTGCCGGTGAAAAAAAAATGCAGTTCATTAACACACGTTGACCTTTTGTGGTGACCTATTACTGACTGTTCAACAAAATAATAATAATAAAAAAAGAATTTAACAGCAAACACGTAACATTAACATGTTAACAAACAAAAATCTCAAACTATTGTTCTAGTTAACAAAAAGGCTATGGCAATTTATAAATTTGTAACATTTTCAAAACGTAACAACTTGCCCCAATTTAACATTCATGAAACTTGATAAAAAATCCTGAGTAAAAAGTGTCAACCTTTCAGTCAAATAAAAGCAAATTTTCCGTAATCAATTTTTTGTCTGAATTTATGCCAGTATTCTGTTCACTTCACCCAACTATATGATGATACTACTAAAATCCACAAAAATGATTGTAAATTATGGCCGTTTTTAACTGTGTTTGAACTCAACAAACAAAACAACAACAAAAAAAACCCCAAAACGTAGCCTCCTTCTTCCCTGTATTTTTATCGAGTGGATAAAGTCAACGTTTTGTATTTTGTATATATGTGGGGACTGTTATGATAAACAGACAAATTCATAGAATTAGTTAACTTTTGTGTAATAGGCTATATTCGATATTGGGGAACGAACCATTTTTGGACGATACCATCCGAGCGCGCAACAGAACTGTACTGACACGGACACCAGTTGCGAACTGTGACCGCCGGAGATATCATGACCAGAAAACAAGTTAGCGCCATCGTATGAATCAGACACTGAAACGCGTAAAGAGCTTTTGGCGTTTTTTTTATATATATATAGTTTTGCCAAATAGCCTATCTTTTATGTCTAGCCTACGTAATGTCGCTAGACTAACCAGCACTTTACCTGAAATAGCCAACATTTTGTTTGCACTAGGAAAACAGTCTAAACGCAACTCAGTCCTCCAGCGAAAGCGGAAACTTCACACACACAGACGGACCTTAAATTGCGGATAAACAGCAGATGACTTTGCGCATAACTGCACGCTGATATTCACACTGTTTCGGTATCTCGAGTTCATGGGGTTAATGAGAAACCGTGCTCACGTGAGCACAGGTGCGTCATCTGTCTGAAGAGATGATCGCGAAAAACTCTTACTTCATCCCGCCGAACGACATGCGGTAACATGTAATCACATTAAAATGACCACCCTGCATTCGATCAGCGGTTTACATGCGTCGTTTTGTTTGCTATGGTTAAGCAACATCGCATACAGTTAAGTACTAGCTAATATATTCGAGAACAACACAACCACCATAACAACGGCAGACTGCATTAGACACAAAGATTTGCGCCCCGCCACGATCATCTTACCTGTGAATTAATGAACTGTCTGGTGAAAAAACATGGAATAAAACTTTGAAATGCGCTATAATAGAATCTAGTTTTCAAGCTACGAAATGACTAGAGTGTTGGATGATTGTAAAATTCCGCTCTGTCTCCCTTTGTTTTTCTAATGACTATGAGCGAGACTCTGGATAAACTCCATCACCATTTTTATCAGTTTCAGACAGACTCCAGACACTCTCTGGCCACTTACGTGTCGTGCACTGTGCCTGCGCAGCGCGTTCACGAGCGTCGGCGCGCCACAGACTGACAAGCACCAGACCAATGGCGTCCCGAATTTGAGTATGATATCCAATAACAACAGCCCAAAAATTGATAACCTCTGAATGACTCCCCGGATGGATGCAGAGAGAAAATAATCTTTAGGAAACGCAGTCAAAGTGTGATTGGAGGTGGGGGGTGAATTAGGTTTATCACGCAGACATTGTTGCTATATGCATGTAGTGCACATTGAATCTTTTGTTAAAGGCAAACGGCATAATAACATTTGTTAGCTACTCTGCACGCGACCATATAGCTTTTATAATTTCAAAAGGATAACATTTTTAATAAAAAGACTACGTTTGAAAATATGCATCCAGTTTGGATAGGGGAATTTTATTTTAAGAGAAACTAAGTAAAAATATAAATAGTTAATAACATTATAACAGTATTGCTGGGCATACTCATTTCATAATACCAAATTAGAAATTGGCTATAAGCAGATAAAATTATCTTTGTGTTTTTTAAACACTTTATTGTTTGATCTTAATATACTGACTGATGAAAGAACAACCATTGAAACACTGTTCACTAGCAAATATTTTAGCTATAGTTCCAGCTATAGTTTCAGTAGGCCTATATTAAAAAGAGAGTTGAGTAGGATCAATTGTAACTTTTTCTTTATATTTCTGTTTTTTTTATAGACTATGAAAGAGTATAATGCATGCATTCAGTGAGACTCGTCACTCTCAAATTTGTTAAAATAATCTGCACCATTTTTTTTTATTCTTCCCAATGTCCAACTGCAGGCTACATTTGAATATTTAATTTGACATAAAAACATGTAGAAACATTATGGTAAATATGTCTAATACTCATGTTTGAGTAATTGACAACAAAAACACGATTCTGCTGTTGTCAAGGTTCTTTAAGAAACAAAAATCATTATGAAAAATTAATTCCCACTTTATTGGAACAATTTAGTTCATTAAATACATAGCGAACTATGAAATACAGTTACTTGTACACCATATTTTCTCACATAAATTGCACTGATCCTTTCTGAAGTATTCTATGCACAATTTTAAAGAGGTTTTTATTTTTTGTTACTGTGCTCAATGGATTCACTTTGTTCACTTTCAGAGCAAACAATGTATCTTTAATTAAAGATACACTGGTAATTAAAATCTGGTAAGATTTTAATTTATTATAAGTTTGCTCACTGAATGTAAACAAATATTATTGTGACAAGTCTTTTTTTCTTTTTCTTTTTTTGCCTGTTACAGTTAACAAGGGAAAAAATGCAAAGAATAGTTTTCTTGTAAGGAGGAAATTCAAGTCAGAGATGGAAGAAAGGAAAGAGAGAGAGCAGAAAGGAAGACGAGGCATGAAATCTGTGGAGTGAAGAGAGGAGCAAAATGGCCCTGTTTACACCTTAAGATGTGTTTTGGTCGATTGAATCATATGGATACGCTAAGTACAGGTGTTAAACAGGGTCTAAAAAGTTTTGAGCTTGTCCACTTACGACCACTTCCAGAGGTAGACGAAAACACATTCGACCGGATTGCTTTCGTATTGTAGACACTCGTGTGTTCAAACAGCCACAAAAAAACTGTCTTTCAACCTACTGACCTATTGTGTGGACATTATGGGAAGCGTGCTAGCCAGGTGGGATTTAAACTTTGCCAGATGAAGTTTGGTTTGAAGATGAAAAACATACCAAGCACAATGTTCTCTCACCATTCCTGATTTCTAACACACAGTCACAGCTTTCGGCGTGGTCTTGCAGCGAGTTGGCTTTTTGGGTTTGCTAAATATGCTGTTGAATATGTTTGTTTGATAATACTTATTTAATAAATTATGTCTTTTGAATTGGTATACCTATACCTTGCAAATAATACATTATGGCCCAGTTTCACAGACAGGGCTTAGAATAAGCCAGGAGTAGGTTTTAGAAATTAGGACATTACTGGTGTGCATCTTGAGACAAAACAATGGCATTGATATTAAAGGGGTCCTATTTTGGTTTTCCACTTATTCAACTTTAGTTATTGTGTAATGCTGCTGTTTGAGCATAAAATGTATCGGTTACCTATTGTAACCTCGGTTCTCTCTAGAAGAGGGAACGAGTATTGCGTAAGTTAGCTCATGCTATGGGAAAGAGTAATCGTTTCGAGATACTGAAGTCAAAAAATTATCCTTCATTTTGTATTTATTGTCAACGCAGTTCAGCAACTAGCAAACCTAGAGCAGGCTGTCTAGCCCAGCCCGCCGTCACACATATGTCGTGAATCATGCTCACGATGAGGCCATGCCTCTAGTGGAATGAGCCCTGATGCCCAAAGGGCATTGCAGACTTTTTGACGCCTAAGCGGCTGCTATAGCGTTCACATCTGGACAGGCTTTGTTTTCGAGGCGGTGAGACCCTTGGTGCGCCCACCGAACAAAGGGAGAAGCTGCTCCGTGCGCCGGAAAAGGGCGGAGCGTGCAGTGTAAACCCTCAGCTTCCTGACTGGGCAGAGGATGTTAACATTGCTTTCACTATCATTCCCCTGGGGGAATGTTGTCCCTGGATAATTTGTCTGGGCCGTTGTTCAGGTGGCCTGGCACATGCGCAGCTTTCAGCGAGCGCAGGTGATGCTGAGACCACGTGAGTTGGCGATCTGTTAGATCGCGGAGGTTCCTGGTTCGGACATCGCCCTGAGGTTTCACGTTGAACACCACTAACAAGTTGTTTGAACAGACTAGAACATGATGGTACTAAATGAACGGGAGGAAGCGCTTCAGCTCGTTCTCGACCGCCATCATTTCCAAACAGTTTATGTGAAGGAGCTTCTCCTGGTCTGACCACAGTCCAAAGGCTGGTTTGCCCTCGAAGAGAGTGTCAAAACCTGAGTTGGATGCATTTGTCGAGATTACCTTCCGATATGAGACAGCTCCCATCATCACACCCCACTGATACCAGTCGGCCGATAACCAGGGCTGCAGAGCCGTAATGCAGGTCTGAGTCACTCTGACTCATTCGCAGCCAGAGGCCCAAACTCGGCGAGACGCTCGAGCATTCAGCCAGCGTTGAAGTGGGCGCATGCGCAGTAAACCCAGCTGAAGCACTACCGCAGCTGCGGCCATACAGCCCAGGACCCTCTGGAATGTCTTGAGAGGGATGATGCTCCCCTTCTGGAAAGACGCGGCTAGATGTCGAACACGGTGTGCGCGCTGTGTCAATAAATGAGCCATCATGGCCACAGACAGAGTCAAGTTCTATTCCTAGAAATGAAATTGACTGACTGAGCAGTAATGAGCTCTAGATCCAGTTGACTGTGAGACCCACGCTTTCCAGGTCAAGGTCAAGGTCAAAATTTATTTATATAGCACCATTTATACAGACAAGCTGACCAATGTGCTTTACAAAGGAATATAATATCACACAACAGACAGAGCAGAAAACATTAAAATACAAATTACACGTTATTAAAAGCAATAGAATAAAAGTGTGTTTTCAAGCGTGACTTGAAAACTGACAGATGAGGTGCGGAACGAACCTGAATAGGCAAGCTATTCCATAATGTCGCGCCCGCAATGGCAAAAGCACGATGACCTCTGTGTTTTAACCTGTACCGTCGTATGGCTAAAAGTTTCTGTGTACCTGACCTAAGATCTCTGGAGGGATTATATTGCTCTAAGAGCTCAGATAGATAGAGGGGAGCTAGGTCGTTTAGGCACTTGTAAACAAATAAAAGAATTTTAAAATCTACCCTAAAGCGAACCGGCAACCAGTGAAGGGATGCTAAAATCGGGGTAATATGTTCCCGTTTACGAATGCCTTTTAAAAATCTCGCTGCAGCATTTTGGAATATTTGAAGACATGATAGAGTAGTTGAATTAATTCCATAATATAAAGAATTACAATAGTCCAGTCGAGATGACAGAAAAGCATGCATCACCCATTCAAAAGCTTGGGGACATATAAAAGGCTGAACTTTAGTCAGCATACGCAAATTGAAAAAACACGATCTGAAAACAGAGTTTACTTGCTTATCCATTTTCAAGAGACTATCTACTGAAACACCAAGATTCTTCACACAGGTACTTACTGGCAAAGAAAATGTATATGCTTCAGGGAGGTGGTTAAAACTACTTTTAGAGGGACCAAAGAGTATAAGTTCCGTTTTATTTTCATTTAATTTTAGGAAGTTTACAGACATCCACCTCTTTATTTCATCTAAGCACGCCTTAAGGTGCTCGAATGAAGTTTTCCCTGCCCGTTTAATAGGCACATAAATCTGAATGTCGTCTGCATAGCAGTGAAACGACACATATTTTTTAAATATAGAACCCAAAGGGATCATATAGAGGGAAAACAGCGTAGGGGCCAGGATTGAGCCCTGAGGGAGCCCCCATCGAAGGTGAGCAACAGAGGACATAGAGGAGCCAAAACGAACAGAGAATCTTCGGGTGTCTGAGGAGCACAGTTCTGTGAGATAGCAGTTCTTTACCAATCCCTCGGACGAATGTGCGCAAGGATTTTCCTGGTCATAAGCACTTTGTTCAAAAGTCTCAGATCTAAGATGGGTCTGAGGGCTTCATCCAGTCTCGGTGGTGCTGTGACTGTCCACTTGGGAGAGCGACAGGGAGAATTGGGAGTGAAGGAGATTGGTGCATTCCATGACGAGCCAGTTCCATGTGGAGTTCAGGCAGAAACGGGTTGGCCCTGGTTGCGGGAGCTTGACGGCAAGTGACTCTGAAGAAAGCTGCCGTCGAGTCTGTTCGGTGGGGATTCCTTCGGCGACGACCACTCGAGCCCGAGTCGTCAACGGCCTGAGATAGGAGGCCCATCAACTCAGCGGGGCTCTGCAGTCTGCACGAGCCGCAGAAGTGCGAGGCATCTTAAAAAAGACGCTCGCTGCTCTTTTCGACAGAAGTTTTGCAAGGAAAAAGGATACGTCGACGGATAGCGTAGCTCACACGGACGGCTGAAGGTGGGGAAGACGGCTGGCTTCTTCAGGTGGTGTACTAAGCTGGCTTTTTCGCTTCCTCGATGGCGGCTTCTCTCTAGATCCAGCAATTCGGAGAGCTTCACTGAAAAGATGAAAATCAGAGAAATAGCCTCCAAAACCTGCTTATATACGCTAAGCTATGCCCATCCTGGTGGGCTATAACACAGTGAAGGCACGAGCGCCCTTCATTAGACGTGACGTCATGTCGGGCTCAGTGGTAGGCTGCTGCAGTTCCCGCAGGGCAGCCTATAACCACGCTAGACAGCCTGCTCTAGGTCTGCTAGCTGCTGCACTGCTTTGACAATGAATACAAAATGAAGGATAATTTTTTGGCTTCAATATCTCAAAAAGATTAATCTTTCCCATAGCGTAAGCTAACTTACGCAATACGAGAGAACCTCTCGTAAGAGAACAAGATCTGCAAGGTTACAAAGCTCAAAGTCCATTCCAAACGGAGATCTTATTTAACAGAATCCATTGAACTACAACGCAATTTTTTTGGATCTTATAAAGTTACAATGTTAAGCATTTAAATGATCTCCGCCCATGAAATAAGTAAAAAGGGGACAAGGCCACAAGGCCTGGTTGAGCTGCGTTAGAGAAGACAGTGTTGTTGCAAATAACAAAGACACACTGTTTTTTTTACACAACATTTCGAAGACTCATTTGACCTTCCTAAGGCTGATTTTAAAAACCATTCCTGAACATTATAACCCCAACGTGTATCTGTTCGTAGCACATTATATGGAGAACAGTTTGTTTTCTGTAGCTTTTGTAAGACGGTTCACCGCTTCTTGGGAAAACTAACCGTGGTTTTGTAATTGATTACTCTTTGTATTACCTTAGTTTTACAACAAATATCATGAATAAATGATGAAAAAAAAAAAACAAAAAAAACATACCACTCTAGAACATTCTGTAAAATCCTTGCTTGCAAAGTCTGTGCATGAAATCCACTCTGCACAATCATAATATTGTTCGTTAACATTGTCAGGGTCTGAATCGGGGCTCCAATTGGTTTGAAATTGACGCCATCCTCAATATTTACACTGTGAGTATTACAGAAAGCAGGTTATAACCTCAACTTTCGGTTCCAAAAAACAGAGGTAGCCTAACTTACAGGGTGTGTAAGTATAGCAACCTACTTCATGAACATAACCTGCTCTGCTCTGGGCTTTAGTGGGCGTGACAAGATTGCACACAAGAAATATCTAAACACCCATCAATCAATAAGATTTTTACAGTCTATGGTATTGCGGCAGAATTTAAGGGATGCATTTCTGAATAAAGCCGTCAATGTAAATAGCCTTTGGTTTATATCGCGCCTAAAATCTCCACTTTCATTGAAAAGTTAAAACTAAAATACGTCAGGCTAGTCTTTCTGAACCGTTGGCACCATATAGATATCCATAATAAATGCTTTCTATGGTTGGCATTTCCCCTCATTGCAGTTTCATACCCATGATGCAGCGCGGCTCAGTCTGGTCGCCATGATTCTTGTGCAGATGTTTTCAGGGCTCAGACTGAGGAGATTTCACGCTAAGCTATCGGCCTGAAGCGCTGCACTTAAACCAGTTTCAATGCACTCATCGACGTTATAGAGATACCAGAGTCTCCAAGATAACATACTGTCTTGGGTTATGGCGACCAATGTTGGGGGTATGATATATATGTCATATTAATTTACACTTTAGCTTCTAGCTAGCGGTAACGAGCTAGCTGCTTTTGTTCCATAATTTGACGAGCTTCTAAGATCTGCTATTTGTTTACAGATTGAGTTCAGTTTACTTTTATGCCACGACTATTTGTTAAGCTGTTTTTATTGCTACGATGTGTCATATTGATGGTCGTGGGTCATGAGCAGACGTGCATTTAAGTTACACATTTCTATTAATTTGAGGTTGCTAAATAGCTAGCTGTAGTGTTACAATGAGTGCGTTTCCTGTGTTTAACGTTATTTATGCAAAAAATTCTACGGATAACTCAAGGTAATTATTTTGATGGTGATGGTGGTTGAAGAATTGTTCGTGCAAAGTACAATTAGGATGTGTTTAAAAAATTAGTTAACTTACGTAAGCATTTCTAGTGCAGTCTCGACAGACAGCGGAACTGTTGTTTTTAACCGTGCTGTAAGATACAAATTATGCGTTTTGAGAAAATCAAGTATTTGATCACAACTGGACTGTTTATTACACTCCTATGTGTTGATATTTTAAATATAGGCGTGGTTGTATATCAAGTGTGTATTGTAATAATTTATTATCGAAAGAAGTTCATGTTGTTTTAGTTAGTGAGTGATTTTAGTGATCTCTCCAACTTGTCAATCATACAATACCACTGCCATCTGCACTGATGCAAAGACTATTTAAATGCTATTTTCTTTTTCAATACTTGATTCGGGTTATACACATAGGAAAATGTGCTGCTTTAAAAGTCACCATGAAATCAACATTTATTGATATTTATTTTTTGTGTTGCATTACTTATTATAATTGCTTTATGTATGCACATCTTTTTTTCCTATTTAAATGAATGTGCCCTTTTACTCTTTAATCAAATTAACTTCCCTTATGTGTATCCTGGTGTGAAGGTTGGAAAACCTGTCACTCACATGAGATCACAGCAATAGCAAAAAATTACAACAATCTAATCAATTCCTGATGGATAATATCACGTTCTGCCTTACTTTTTTTTTCTTGTACGAGAAGCTCTGATATGTCCCAATAGGAAATAGAAGACTATGTAACTTCAATTTCATACAGTAACTCTGTGTGAACAAATATACTGTAAATTAGAATGTAAATATCATAATAACTGCAATCTTGCAATGGCTTCTTCCAAATAACATTTGTAATGGTTACGTTTTGAAAGGTTTTTGGAATAATGAGCTGATTGTCTGATAAAGAGTTGTTACTACTACTTTATAAAATGTCGTTTCAAACTTGTATGGCTTACTTTATTCTGTGGAACCAAAAGATGATCTCTTAAAGGTGCAATGTGTATTTGTTAACAGAAATGCAATATGACATCCATATGTTGTCAATGGTGTATAAAGAACTTACTTAATAAACCATAATGTTTTTATTACCTTAGAATGAGACATTTATATCTACATAACCACGGGGACTCCTTCTATGAAGGTTGACGTATTGTGATGTCAGGTTTGTTTGTACCATAGCCGACAGTGAACAAACAGCGCTTAGTACAGAGTGCATTTCGTCACTACCTTGAAAGAGAAGCAACAGAAACATAAGCCATAAACACCTTGAGTAGTGACCTTTCCCTTGTCAGTGGTGTAAAATATGTAGTTGGGTTATTTAATGTAACTTAGTTCTTCTCCCTCGCTGTGTTATGGCTTTGCTATGTGGGGATAAATGTGCTGGTTACGTTCGTTAGACAGCTGATTAGGACTCTTGTCATTGACCGTAAAACAGTATGTTACAGGAATCACCAACCCGTCGATCTTGGAAGCATTTAAGTCGATCGCGAAGAGTTTTCAAAATCAGAGAAGAAAAGACTATTGTGTGTAGTAAATGGTCTCTAGGGGATGCAGAGGCGCACGTGCTGTTACAAATTACAATCATGTCATTTTTCCATGCGCAACTTTGGGCTCATGCGAACGCGTCCAGTTTAAACAAAGCTTTACCCAGCTCAGCCACTTAACAGCTCATATTTAGCCAGCTAAACTTTTACTACCCTGTTAGAAAAAAAAATATATATATATAGTTGCATAGTTTCATGTGGTTCTTCTCCCTCGCTGTATTTTGGGGGAGAAAATTGCTGGTTACATTTGTGAGACAATCAGCTGATTATTACTATTATTATATTATATTATATATTAAGACCCTTGATCCTAACCTGACTATGGCTTTGTGAACTTTGTCCATGATGTGGTTGATAATGGACTGTGGTACAGAAACAGTGACAATATTACACACTCTTGGCTTACTCTGGCTATTCTCTGCTGTCTCAGACGATGATATGTTTGTCTGTTTGTCTGGCTGTTTTAGCCACCGTAGCTTCTTCGAAAGGGAGGGGTGAGCAATGTGCACCGAACCGCTAGGTGTTGCTTAAAATACACACTGCACCTTTAAGAAATATCTTTGCGTTTAACTATATAATGGTAGTCTGTGGTCACCAACATTTGAAACATTCTTCTGTTCTGCAGAAGAAAGTAAGTCATACTGGTTTGGAAAGAGTGTGAGTAAATAAGCACAAAATATAACATTTCAGTTAACTTTAGATTATAGTCATTCTTCAAAGACTTGTATATTTCCTTCAATGAACAAACCTAAGATTTCAAGCACAAGACTTTGAGATGTTATTATTATGTGCAAGGCCTGAGTATGTACTATTATTATTATGCACATTACACATGAAATTTAATGTTATGTATATGATAAAAATAAAAGATGAATGTACATCATTCTCTTGTCTGTATGTAGATGATGACTTTGATGAATACGATAAGCCTGGTGCTGAAAGGTCAAGAAGACGTAGAGGAGAAGATGATGACGACTTGGAGAGGTAAGTCTAAATCACTGTCCCATTGCTGGCTCAGTTTTGCTCTGCACGTTTTCTATTATGCAGAAAGAAAAAGATGAGTAAAAGAGAATCTGTTTTAAACATGCACTGTATTTATGATTAGGACTTAAATCACAGTTTTACTTCATCTGCCGTTTGATGGGCCATTTAATGAAACTGACGCATATATATAGCCTAACACACTGATATTAAAGAAGGGATGAATATTTGTTCAAGTGACGGCTTGGTGAGTGAAATTATATTTGTATTATCTTTCTCTATAGGCTATGAATAATTTGCTTTAGATTTTGGTCTAAAACTGACCAAAAAGACATTTAACTCCAGTTCACCATTGGTGTGGCCAATCTGCTCTGTCTACAAAACGTTTGTACGAATCATGGGTCAGAGTTTGCGTGCAAATGCACAAATTTTCCTGTCAAGTTTGTTTTTATAAATGAAAATGTATGTATTGAAATTGGCGTACGCCTCTTTCAGGGCCTGTTTTGTGCTTACGCAATGGTTATAAATAAGGCCCCAGGTACTAATTTCGATTGTATCCAAAAAAAAAAAAAACACACAATTAAATGTGCACCTCGACTCTCCCGTTTTCCACTAAAACCGGTCCAGCTGCTATAGCCAATTCTTTAGTTAATGCCAAATGTCGGTTTCATTGGTGCCAGCAGTGCACATCTTTGGCTGTGGATGTGAAGTGTGTTGTTCTCAGATGAGTCCACCTTCACTGTCTTCCTCACATCTGTGGGATTTACAGTGTGGAGAAGCCCCAGAGAGCCTTAACACCCAGACAGGGGTGGATCAGTGATGGTTTGGGTCGCAATCTCACTGTGCTTGATGGGCGCATCACTGCCAAGGACTACTGAAGCATTCTGGAGGACCATGGTTCAAACATTGTACCCTGCCATGTATCAGCATGATAACGCACCAATACACAAATCAAGACTTGTGACAGAAATGAAAGTGAAGTTGAATATTTTGAGCCACTTTGGGGGTATTTTGGAGGACTGTATTTTTCTCCACCAGCATCACATTGTGACCTGGTCACTTAAACCAAGAGGAATGGCTTAAAATCCCTCTGGCCACTGTGAAGGACTTTTATCTGCCATTCCCAAGATGAATTTGCCATAAAAGAATACTCTATACCATACCAATAAATTATTTGTGGTCTAAAACCAGGTATATATAGATTAATTCATTGGTTGCTGTTAGGTGTGGTGTTTGCAAAGCCGATGAAGTTGTTGCTTTAATATCTTGCGTTGCTCTGCTGAAATCAGGCAATTCAAAGAGATTCATTTTATTTCCATCAATTCACAGTGATTTGGAGGGAGACTTACTTGAAGAAGATTGGCTGTCATCCAAAAAGGTAAAGTGTTTTTCATCATTGCCTGTTTCTCTCACCTCTACACTATATCATAAGTCAAGTAGATTGAACATATGATTTTTCTTTTTGTCCACCCTCAGAACCCCTCAGAGCTGTCAGATGAGGAGCTAAATGATGACCTCTTGCAAAGTGATGATGAGGACCAAAATATGAGGTACTCCAACAATACAATAAAATCCTAGGCATTGCAAAAATCCATCCATTTTTAAATGACAATGTTTAGCTATTTTTAATTACTTTATTGAGGTCATTTTGTATTTTTTCAAATGCAGCTTGGATGTTTTTTTTTACAAGACTCGGAAAAGCCCCTAATACTGCAATGATTTTTTTTTTTTTTAGTTAGTGTATTCAGAATTGCTTTTACTATTTATATTGCTTTTAATGTTTGCATTAAAAATAAAAAATAACTTTTTTATTACTCAGTCAGTTATATTAAATGTTTAATCAGGAGAAAACAGTATCTCAAAAGCTAGCATTGAATCCGGCATTGAATTCGTGGAGATTCTGGAAGTTGTCTTCCGTAAAATGCACAGCACAGAGAGCTAAATTACCATTGTAATTTTCAGAAACATAATCAAACACAAATTTTAGCCATTGTTGACGAACTACAGCGTCCGTGGGAAGCCCGAAAAAGCTGCAGAAATATGGCCATGCCCCCTTTTTTGCATATTTCGGAGGGTGGTTTATCTTATCTTTTGTATTAAATAGTTAGTGTATTCAGAATTGCTTTTACTATTTATATTGCTTTTAATGTTTGCAAGACAATAGTCATATGAGAGAGTATTGGTGTGTCCTGTGCTACATATAGTCTAAAATGGCTTGTTTATAAGACTGGAATGACCAATGTAATCAATTGCGTAAATTAGTTGTTTTGCGAGGAATGCGTCAATTCGTTGTGCTGTTCATGCTCATCCTAATGATGACCCTGATGACTCTCAGGCATGCTGAAAATCAGCCGTTATTGCAAAAATATTAAGCCCTATCTAAAGTTATATTGATAAAACAATAACTTTTTTATTACTCAGTCAGTTATATTAAATGTTTAATCAGGAGAAAACAGTATCTCAAAAGCTAGCAAGCAGCAGTAGCATTTTCAAGTAACAGCGTATCAAATTTCTTGTATAAAAATAGTGAAATAGAATAATAATAATAAAAAATGTACCATTCAGAAATGTTTTGTAAGAGCAGTGTTTGGGGAGGTTCTGCCTTGACTCTCTTCATTGCTGCTTTCTGGTTCTCATTCTGGCTCAAACTGATATGGCAGTATCGACACCATTATTTACATTTTACATTCACCTGTTAAGGTAATAGGCGTGAAGTTTCGGGACAACGTGCACTACGCAGTTTAGCTAATATAACACACTGGCCCAAACTAACCAATCTGAGCCCACTGCCTGTTTCTGAGTGAGTGGTTTCATCAGGAAGTCAACCAGTCGTTGAAATGACAGAGGAGAAAGCGGCTTACAATAAAGAAGAATTTTATTAATAATAAGGCTTAAAAAAACCATGAAGACCTGTTATATTGCACCCCATAACACAGTCATTCAAAGAAAAAAAGCAGTAAACCCCCCTTTAAATAAATGAATCCAATCGAGGTAGGAGTTTATCTATTAGATATTTTAAAAAACTAACAACAGTGTTAAATTCTTTGTAAGCAGTTGCAGAGAGTACGTTTAAGCCGCACGTCTCACAGCCTCGCACCCACAGCAGATCGTATACAACTGAATGCTGAATGAACACAGATGTATTAAGCTGAAAAAATGGTACTGACAAATGGATAAAAAAATAAAAATCACAATAATAGTCCAAATACTTGCACTATTGTCTCATTGTATTCGGGTAACATTAGGAGAGACCCAGGCGGGATGTTTTCTTTTTTTCATGATGCTGTGGTGTAACTTAGTAGGCCATTTCAGTTTTACAAAGTGTGCAAAGTACCATTTAATTTGCTATCTGATTGCAAAAATTCCACACGAGCAACCATTTCTATTCACAAAACATAGTTTACTCAGTTTCTTGTTGAATCCGGCATTGAATTCGTGGAGATTCTGGAAGTTGTCTTTCGTAAAATGCACAGCACAGAGAGCTAAATTACCATTGTAATTTTCAGAAACATAATCAAACACAAATTTTAGCCATTGTTGACAAACTACAGCGTCCGTGGGAAGCCCGAAAAAGCTGCAGAAATATGGCCATGCCCCCTTTTTTGCATATTTCGGAGGGTGGTTTATCTTATCTTTTGTATTAAATAGTATGATTAGGCAACATATCATAGTTAGCATTATTATTTATTGGTAAATTAACTAAATGATTAATCAACTATTTAGAAAATAAACAATAGGTTTACTGGAAAAAAATAACTGTTCGATTCAATTTAATAATAAGAATAATTGATAGATTAATCGATTGACAAAAGTTGCAGCTCTACTTTTAGGACTCATACGTTTTACATCCGTAAACATGTTTTCAAAATACTATTTATTTCTTTGGGTATAAACTTTTTAATTGGCAAAAGTGTTTCCTTTTAAAACATGTTTGTAAACAAAGCTGTCCAATGTTAAGCTGTTTTATATATATATATATATATATATATATATATAACCTGATGAAATGTAGTTTGTTGTAAATCATGACTGCAACTTACTAAATCTGTTCTGATATTTTTGTATGATGATGAATGGTGGAATAGTCTGCAGTATAGCCCAAAATAGCCTATATTACAAGCTTTTATTTTTATTGTTGTTGTATAGAATAATGTTAGCTCATAATTAATATACTGAGTGTAGATGCATTAATTAATATAGATTAATATGCACCACTACCTAAGGTGTTCACTTTTTTCAATTTTGGGGTCAAAATTGTCTTCAACCCATAATTTATGCAAAGCTTCAGTGCTCTATAATCAGTAGAGCAGTTCATCCATAACATTATTAGAGATGACATTGAACTAACTTTGACACCTTCTGTTTTAATCAAATGAATAAAAAACAATTTGTTTAAAATAAAAAAATGTAGGTGACATGCTTTAATCCAGTCTTTTAATATAGTTATTGTGGTAAGTCAAGGGCTCTTGTAACAAAAGCAACATACGAATCTACAAATTCATTCATTTATTGTCCAGTGCTTAACACGTGTCATTGTGTCTTTGGTCCAGTGGTCAGGGTGCGGCTGTGAGTTTAAATGCAACACTGGGTTTGGGCACCTCTGGTCACTTTCAAGATGAAGACGTAGGTTGTCCTGAAAATGCCTATGAGGAGACAGAGGGGTGCCAAGCGGTATTCTCTCAGGCTGGGCAGTATGAGGCAGATGAGTACCAAGCAGAGGATGAAGGGTTGGAATACGCAGGAGGCCAGAATTGTGATAAATATCAAGATGAAGTTTTGGACCTACAGATCGACGAGCCACTGGATGACGATTTTCAAGTGAGTCACACTTTTGCTTGCTATCTCTATTGCTTACGCTCTCCATAATCCCCCACCACATTTCCTTCCTGTCTGCAGCCTGACAACGTATGCTTTGTGACCCTCAGGGCTCAAGGTTTTGTTCAGAGTGAGATTCTTTTCACTGTCTTTGTTCAGCAGATGTCCTGGCAATCCATGCTGGCTAATGGGAAAAGCTCTCAGACAAGATCTGATAAAGTTGTCTTTATAGGTGAAAAGATTATTGACCTTCTTTAAAGTGGTCTTTAGCAAGCATGACACAGGGGCATGATTGATGAGTTGTCCTTTCTGTAAATGTGTATTTATTTATTTGCTTAGATAGACAGTTCATTCAAAAACGAGAAATGTCATCATTGACTCACCGGCATGACGTTCCAAAGCCATATGTTCATGAATCATTCAGATCAATTTTTATCTGCAATGTAACGAACAATTTCTTTATGGATCAGACAAAGTAAGATGTAATAAGGAAAAAGTGGCAGTACATATTCTTAATTCAGTCCCAAGTGATAGTGTCTTCAGAAGACTGGACAATGTCTGACCAGATTGGGTAGGTCTTTAAATCATTAAACATGGGTCTGGGACAACTATTTACAAATAAATATTACAGTATATAAATATCACAGACAATGATATTTTTTATTTTTTTATTTTATTTTAATTTTTTTTTACAGTTATTGAATTAAACATGCTTAAAGGTCCCGTTCTTTATGTTGTTTTTTTTTGAAGCTTTGATTGTGTTTACAGTGTGCAATATAACATGTTTATATTTCGCGTGTAAAAAACAGTATTTTTCACACAATTTACTTATCTGTATACCGCTGTTTTCACTGACCAAAAAACGGGCCGATGACTTCCTTATTCTATGAAGTTATGTTCTATGATTGTTATTTTTAAAATTTCAAACATATTACCATATCAATTTGATCAATTTTCTACAAACTTCTAAGTTCTACTTAAGCTCAAAGCCAAGGGAATTTTTTTGTTTCTGCTTTTTGGGGGATTTGGAGGCTGGTATATTCTCCTTAATGTTTTGTTTTGTACCGAAGAAAGAAGTGCAAAGAAAATACAAAACACTCACTTGAATGTGTAGTAGACTTAATTTGCTAAAGCATAATTGAGGCAATAGAGGAAAAGTATTTTGCTGTGAATACAAAGGTGATAAATCACCTTTGCCAGCTGTTTGTTGCACTCTTGAAGAATATTGCCATTGCCTAAATTCAGCTTTAAATTTTGTTTTCGTATGATATCTCTGTTTACATGGTCGCTTAGCTGCCGGGGCTTAGCATCTTTGTGTTTACTGTTATCCAGAGTTAAAGTGTGGAACGGTTTAAAGGATTAAGCATTTTCCCTGTAAGTGAAAATGGTCAGTTCATGTGCTGTGTGCAGGATACGTGTCATAGTCATTTTGGTCTGTCTGCTCTATGCTTAGTGTACAGTTCTTTAGATTCGCCTTCTGTCACCCTGCAATTTTTTTTATCGTCCTCTCTAGAGAACATTAGCTTGAAGTGAATTTATCTGAGATCATTCCACAGTTTTAAGTCGTAATGTATCTTAAATACTTAATGGACTTGTCATAAATACCAGATGATTGGGGTTTAGCCATGACAACTCCTTGGTTTTTCTGATGTCTGAAGTTACAATTTTGAAAATTGAAATGATTTTGATTAGTTCGCCCAAAGGAAAATTATGTCATTAATGACTTACCCTCATGCCGTTCCAAGCCCGTAAGACCTCTATTCATCTTCGAAACACAGTTTAAGATATTTTAGATTTAGTCCGAGAGCTTTCTGTTCCTCCATTGAAAATGTATGTACGGTATACTGTCCTTGTCCAGAAAGGAAATAAAGACATCATCAAAGTAGCCCATGTGACATCAGTGGGTTAGTTAGAATGTTTTGAAGCATCGAAAATACATTTTGGTCCAAAAATAACAAAAACTACGACTTTATTCAGCATTGTATTCTCTTCCGGTTCTGTTGTCAATCCGCGTTCATTGACGCTGGTGATGTGTTATCTGCTCCGCCCGAGCTTCGTTCACAGTCTGACGGAGACGCATGCTGTAAACAAAATCTTCGCAAACATGACTTTTTTTTTTTTTGCCCAGCCATGTTTATTTGAACCCGAATAGACGGACGCACCAGAACACGTCATCAGCGTTACTGCGGACTCTTGAACGCGAATTGAGAACAGAACCGGAAGAGAATACAATGCTGAATAAAGTCAAAGTTTTTGTTATTTTTGGAGCAAAATGTATTTTCGATGCTTCAAAACAGTCTAACTAACCCACTGATGTCACATGGACTACTTTGATGATGTCTCTATTTCTACATTTTCAATGGAGGGACAGAAAGCTCCTGGACTATATATAAAATATCTTAAACTGTGTTCTGAAGATGAATGGACGCTTGGGCTTGAAATGACGTGAGGTGAATTAACCCTTTAATGAAACAAGAGCAACATTGTATCATGTGTTAGGCTTGCTGCAATAGTCAGTGTTCACAGTGAGCCGAACGAGAGTCGCAGCACAGATCAGTAGCAGGTATCAACACCTGGGTAATGACAGCATGGAGGACTGGTCATATTGGAGCATACGGCACTGGCATAGAACAAAGTTTACAAACGGTGACTGTTTTGTCCACATTTTTTCAACCATCGCTGTTGTAATGTATTGGGAAGCCAGACTGTTCCCAGACAGAATATTTATATGATGCAGGTGGGCACTCTATCAGTGACTTGTCTCATTCGCTTGCCATGCTAAACAAGTGTGTGATGAACCACAAGTAAAGAACAGTATGGTCCTTTTTTTTTTTTTTTTTTTACAAAGCGCCATTTCACCCCTAGTATGTACAAATGATAAATGTTTTTTATTTTCCAATTTTCTTTTTTATTTCAGTGTTCAGGGACCTTGATAAACAAAATAGAACCAGAACCTAGAAAATGTTTACTGTTGTCATGGAGCATCAGGGTTAGTTACTTTACACAAAGACACAGAGACTGATACAATCCTGCAGGAGTCAAGGCACATCAGACTGCTCCTTTTGTTCTGCCTTTCATTGACCTTTAATGCAGGACAGATGTCGTTGATCATTCTGCCTGTCCCGGTGATCGCTTGATCACTGGTGTCCAGGGTAATGCAGACAGGTGCTCAGCATTTTGCAAGTTTGTCTGTTCAAGACTAGTTTCTTTATATTTCTGTACATTATTCTAATATTGTTCTAGTACTGCTGAGATTAGGATTCACTGTAGAAAAATGACTTGGAGAGTTTTGTAATAGAAGCATACAGCACACGTTTTCTCAAGGATATGAATAAAAAAAACACTGTCTCTTCAAATATAAGTTTGCTTGAGCAGTGAGCACTGTTGGCTCTCCATAGCAGTGAAATTTATGTTGTCCAAATGTATTATAAAAGGTACCATGCAACAATAATATTTATAGAAATATGTGCTAGTGCCTTAAGGTGAAACGTTAGTTGCTGTACTCTAATATATGTACATGGCTATTATAATTAAGAAATTTCACTTTTTGTTATATATATATATATATACATATTATGCTACTTACATGAGAGAAGTGACGCTTTGTGAAAGTGCTGAGTAGGACATGGCACAAATAAGATATGATGAAGAACTTATGACATTGTTATTTGATCACAACATTTTTTTCGATATTGATATTTATCACAAGATATCATTTGATAATGTTGCCAACTGGAAGAGTCCCCTGACAATGAGAAAAGCCTGTAGGAACCAGTTTAAAAAAATATTTGAGTTTTTTCAAAAATAGGATAACACAACGTAAACTTTCAACTGTGCGGACATGTTTTTAACTGTGCGGAATAACAAACATTTTAACTGAGCTTTGAAATGCATTTGCATACATGTTAGTCAGACAGTCCTATACAGTGATGTAACGAACAACGTTTTACCTGTGTTGTCACAATTTAATTTCCCTGAAGGATGGAATTTCAATCTACTGGGATAATGAGGTAATTTAATTTGCATTATAGTAAGTATTGAGTAAGTATTTAGTTCACTAGAATATCCAAAATATCACTGCAAACATGTCTATATGAGAGTCATTCAGATTCCAACAGCCAAAGTAAAATCTCAATTTAAAGAGTGAAATGTGTACTTTAGCAGAGGGAAATGGGTTTGAGGACCTGTAAGCCATAACAGGTGGACAGAAACAGGATCCGTAGGTATAGCAGGGTATGGAGACAGTACCTGTGGTGGATGACTGAAGCAGAGATGGGCACAAAACCTTTGAGGAGTGAGACAAGACCGGTGGTGTAGGATGTGAGGTTCAGCAAGGTAGTCAGCAGAAGCCGTGTGTGCCCGTCTCTCCGGATGCTTTTGTACATTCTGTGCTCGAGTGTGTGTGAGAATTTGCTCAAAGTCAGATGATGATATTTTCCCTGTCAGTGAGGTGTGTGTGTGTGCGTGCATGTGAGTGAGTGTGTGTAAAGACAACACAGTCAATGATATTTTCACCACCACTGAGCCGTGTGCGTGTTTATCTCCCATTCTCTGTGTATCATGTCAAACATTTACATCTCATTGAATTTCAAATATCAGCAGGAATGGTAATAGGGAATAGTAATGAGACTGGGCTCCCACTGTTATGCTAATTTAGGAAGACTCCCCTTCAGCGCTCCCTTCCCTACCCTCCCCAACTTCAGAATGCTGCACTGGGCCTTTCTGGCTTCTCTTTCAGATGTGGCATTAACGTTTTCATTCAGAAATGATTTTGCTTCATTCTAATGTTTTATCTTCATCCATGTCATTTGTGGCATTGAACAGGTTATGGTAGTGCCGACCTACGACACGGTCCAGAACAGGTGTTTCAATCCATAATAAACAAGAGATATGTTTAGCCCTGATGTTCTAGTCCTGCTTGAATATCCATTGAATGGAGTTAAATATTTGTTTGTTCTTCACAGGTAGATGGATATCCAACTGAGTATAGTGAAGAGCAGACTGACAGACAGGAAGTGGCTGAGGAGGAGGATCATGAAGAAGAAACTCAGGACAGCTCTCAGGTCACCGAATTGGAGGAGGTAAAGAATGGTTGCTTCAGACGGTTTGTGCTCTTTCGTGGAGATTGCGTGAGTCTGATGATTTATGTGTGCTCTATGCTTCAGGTGGAGAATGAAAACGATCCAGAAGCTGAGCCAGAGCAAGATGCAGATGTAAAGGAGGAGTCTGATGAGGAAGAGGAAGATGTCGAAGAATCTAGACGTCTGCGATTTAAGACGGAGCGTAAAGATGACACTGTGGTCAGGCTGTCTGATGCTGCCAGTAAAAGAAGGAACATCCCAGAAACATTAGGTAAGGTGTTAACATGGAGCACCCCTCCTTTGTACTGTTACAGGTTTAAAAATCTCATATGGTCTTGTTTTGAGTAATCTGACTGTTATTTAGATTCTACAATTCAAGCATTTGTGAGTAAAAATGACTTATGTTTATGATTTGGCCGCACCGGTGTGAGTGAATAGATGTCCATTTGATTAGGTCATCAAGACTCATTCCTAAACTTAACTGTCTTACTTTAAGTCATAAAGACAGACCTACCGGATTAACATGACATAATTCATATTCATGAGCAAAGCCTACCTAGTTATAGCCTGGTTCTACCACACTGCGTACATTTTGGCCCAAAAGCGGCCGTAATGTTGTTATGACGCAAACCAAACGGTCGAGGCGTATATACTCAATGTGCTCGCCGTTGTACTGTTCTTTACAACGACTCGAGCAACTGTTCTCTAACCATCAGGAACCAGTGAGAAGAAGAAAAATAAACACGTGACAATGTTTATTTTTTAGTATACCACCACCACCAATGCAAAAATAGTCATGTAAAACCCAGTAAACCTGAGATTATTAATTGTGACATTACAAAAAAAAAACATTTATATGGGAACATGAATGTATACAATAAATACTAAATTACTAAATTAATTTAGTAATTACTGTACTAAATTAACGCTCTCTTAAATATTTTATAATTTCACTAACCATATTTCATTAAGTTTGTGTACATTTGTGTTAAACATGGACCTTTGTTCATTTAAATGTAAGCAACTTATTTAGACTTGCAAACTGGGTGCTGGTTCGTGCTCGGCTTTGTTTTTATGAGAGAGCATTTCATTTTAAAACCTTTCTGCAGGCCAGTAGATTATTATTTAATGTACACATGAGTGGGGTCAAGTTAAACATTTTATTTACTGTGCATTGTGCTAAATAAATATTATTTTAATGATTTTTGTATTAATTTATGCAATTGCATTGCCTTGATTTTAGTAAAGTTTGTACACAGTCATAGCCATAAATGCAATGGTACTAATAATTGGCATAATTTCTTTTTTCTTTTTTTCGGTTTTCGCCCTTGGTTTCCTCTTTTCCTGTTTTCGGTTTTGGCCAAGAATTTTCATTTCGGTGCATCACTAATATTATTATATTAAAGTGATTTGATTATCATCCTATTTATGTGCAGTATAAAAAAGGCTAAATTGGCTTTATGCACAGCTGCACTACTTCCTAAACTTAAGCCAGCTCCTTGTTTCCGGTCTGCTAATATTGGACAAATTGATTAATCCAGGTGTACCTGACCTCAGTAGTCACGGCAACAATAATCAGACACACCTGAATTAATCAAGTTAGGCCAATAATTGCAGACAGGAAATAAGGAGCTGGCTTAAGTTCAGGAAGTAGTGCAGCTGTGCATAAAGCCAATTTTTTTTAGTTTGAGTGAAAATAGAAAATAACTTTTGAAAGATGGTTTAGGTGATGGTTTAGTTGTTTTAAACCACGAATTGCTTCATTTGTCCAAATGAGATAAATCTGGATCTTTTTTTCTTTCCTTTCAGAGCTCTCTGAGGAAGCTAAAGCAGACCTGCAGGAGTTTGAGGACAAGGAACGTCAGAGGAAGCAGGGCCGTTTTGGAGGCCGAGGAAGAGGGTGGCCACGACCAGATGGAATGAGGGGAAGAATGACAGGTAGAGGTGGGATCAGGGGAAGAGGAGGAGCAGGAGGACGTGGAGTCGGTGGAAGAGGCGATTTCCCTCTATTTGGAGTAGGAGGTTTCCGTGGTGATGGAGTTGGAAGTCAGGGGAGAATAAATGAGCAAAGGCCTCCACTGATGCAAGTGAATTTAGGAATGCAGGTAAGAAACTGACGGGTGTCTGAAATGGCACAAAATATAAATGCTTCTACTGAACCTGTTCATCAAGTAATTGATGACACAATGGGAGATAGGACACTCAATACTCGCACATACATTTTCATCTTGTCAGAATCCACTGTCTATTGAACATATTTTGCTGGACTACTTTTACCCCTTTGAGGAACTTGTTTTATTCTGTTGATACTTTTGAAAAGGTTTTTAACCAAGTAAATCTTGTCTTAAGGTTTTTAGAAAAATGAATCTTAAACATTTTATTTATTTTTTATTTTTGAATTACTAAACCTGTCTGTCTCCTTGATCATAGCCATATTAGCTGGCATGCTGTTAAAAAGGAAAGAAAAACAAAACTGAACCTGTTCTAATAACATTAATATAAGAGTGTGATATGGCAGCTTAAATTAGATTTTAGAGATGTGCTAATGGACCCTTTTCACATTTCTGTGTCCTACTAATAATATTTGGGTGTTTTGCAGTTATCTTTTAAATTATAACTTATAAAACCACCAGTATTACAAAAAGTGTTAGTGGAAAACATTGCCTACGCTGGCTTTAAATTAAAGTTTAGTCAGTAAGGTTTTTTGTTTTGTTCAGCAAGATGCATGAAATTGTGATGTAAAGACCTCTATAATGATGCAGAGGATTTCTATTTCAAATAAATGTTGATTTCTTGAACTTTCTATTAATCAAAGAATTCTGAAAACAAATGTATCACAAAAAATGTTTTACTGTACTACATTTATGTAAATTCAGCATTAGTGAGCATAAAGCCCAATTTATACTTCTGCTTCCAACTCACGCCACAGCAACGTCATAGGCTGTGTGTAGCATGCGTATCCTGTCGTGCACCTCTCTAAAAATGTAACAACACGTCAGTTCTACTTGGACACAAGCGCTGTGATTGGTCTGCTAGAACTCCTCCCTCAGGTTTCACATGCTCCCTCTGGAACGCGGACAATGAAGCGGACGTATAAATGAAAACCAACCCGTAGTCTATAGCGTAGCCGTAGAGGCTCTGATATAGGTCCGACACAGAAGTATAAATCAGCATTAAGAGACTTTCAAAATCATCAAATCTTACTGACCAGCAGTGACCACACACTGTAGTGTATAAACAGTAACATTGCTTGCAACAGTTGGACGCAGCTTTAGTTGTGACACACAGCTATTCTGTTTGCTAACATATGTTAACTTGATTGATCCTTTTGAGGTTATTGAAGATTTAAATGATGGTTCTTTGACTTGCCATGTCTCACCCTTGTGGAGTGGAGTCGGTTTGCTTTTGAGTTAGTCAATTATCACTGTTCTCACTCCTCCTTATCCATGTTGATATATGGATTATGGCAAATAACTTGGCGGGAGTCCATTGAGGAAGCATTACACCAAATTAAATTTTACTTTGCTGAAGGATTTAGCTTCCTGCGCTTATTTTATTATTAAATATCTGTCGGGATGTAATCCCTTTGCGCTTGAGCTGTTCGTTCGAACGTTCATGCTGTACCTTTTTCTTTTTTTAAAGCTGATTTTCTTTCATGGAGAAGGAAAGCCTTTTCAGGCTTTTGACACAACTTGTCATTCCTCGACATTGATATGTTATTTTATATTATGCTTCAGACAGTGCTATATGAATCCATTTCTGACCATGAGTTGTCATATAAAGTACAATTTGTCTTCATCTGATGATGAGTCAATAAATATAGTGTGCTTCCATGTGCAAAGCTTTCTCAAATAGACTGCAATGTGTATCTAGTTTGGGGAGTCAGTTTTTCACTCATCATATAAGATGTGTTTTCCGTTTAGCTTAAGGACACAGAACATGTTTTTTGAGAGAGTACTTTAGCATTTTGTATTTCTCTCAAACTCATTTAATTCAGAATCAGTCGCAGTCACATGGCTCTTATGATTGATTACTAGATTCAAGGCCACAACACTACAAGATAATGATTTTTTGGGGGGGTGAAAGAGAAGGCTTACGCTATTGATTGATGCTCTTTTTGTTTCTCTCTCTCTCTTTTTTTTTTTTAAAGCAGCAGCTCAGAATGACTCCTCCGCTCCAACATCACCACCATCAGTCGCGTCTGCCTGGTGCCAGAGGCGCTGGAGGTCCTGGGCTATTCCCAGATCCAGGCACCCCGATCCCTCAGCAGCCGCTGCAACTGTTGATGCCACACCTGGCCCACCGTTCCCCGGGGCCCAGAACACAACACGACACGCACGGACTGCGCTTGTTGAACTCACCGCCACGGCACTCACACGCACATCCCAACCAACACCAGCAGCATCAACAGCACCACCCCAAGAACATTCACATTAACCCTCACTTCAGAGGACCCTCCTCCTCACCTGTGCAAGGTACGGCCCCAGAGACAAAACCAGCGACCTGGTATTCATATATTTGGGTGGATAGAAGCTGTTTGAGCATCTGCTGTAAGATGTGTTCGACCTGTTAGAGAGCCTATTGCATGTATATTTTTAGGCTTTGTACTTTTGGCGGATGCTTACTCACATTTTCACTCAGGATCCCCCCCAGTCCATCAGCATTAAACCATCTTTCTGAAATGCACACATCTGTGGAGGTGAAATTACTCCTTTTGAGTGTCAGTTTATCTCATTAGGTGGCCCAGCCTGCGCGCGAGAGAGAGATGCACAGTTTAATCAGCAGAACAGCCCTCTCTCTGTGACCAGCTGTGACAAACCATGGTTTAGACTCATGGCAAGAAGAGACTTTTTATGGTGTCTGTGTTACGCAGCCCCACTCTCTCATTCTGCAACCCTTTTTCTGTCTGCCTGACTTGTGCTTTTTCTATTTCCATTTTAATCTCAGTTCCCTCAATGCCTCCCGTGCAGAACCAACCGAGGCCTAACATCACGCCACAGAGACTCCCGGTAAGTTACCTCACATTGCTTTAAGATCGAATTAAGTGCTTTTGCTATGCATATAACTGCAGTATGTTATGGTCGACATCATGGTAATTTTTGAATTTGACTGGCCCATAGTCAACGAAACCAACATTTGTCTTGCTGTGTGGAAGGCATGTTTCTAAAAATGTTCTCATATGTGGGGAAGATCTGCCAGTTGAAATCGAAATGGAGACCGTAAAAAAACTCAGAACAGATGTAAAAGCCCTTTACTGCCTGTAATGATGTAGAGGAACCATCAGGCAGCTGCCCGTGCTGTGGCTAAAGTGATTACTGCTGAGGAGACCATCTCACACACCCCCCCCAAATCTCCCCATTTCTCTTCTCTGTCCTCACTGATATAAATACTTTGGTTTTCCCTTTTACCGTTGCTGTCAAAAGGATGCATAAATCAGTGTTTCAGTATGACAAATGGCCGTTGTACAGTGTTACATGCAAAACGTTTATCAAAAACTGTTTTAAACATTTTTACATTTTTTATATAATTCTTATAGAAAGTTTTTATGTCCTCAATCCAGACTACATGGATTATTTAAAAATGTACGTTACACCTCTGGACCATTAAACTGTAAAAAAGCATATAATGACCAGTCACATCACCTAAAATACACTTTCAAATTCAAAAAAAATGTAACCTAAATTCCTGATGGTGAAAAGGAAAGTTAAAGTTTATGTCCATGTTATTTGTCAACTATTCATGTACTGCAATCCCTAGTTGGGGGACACTGTGGACACTTGAAATGGTTGGTTGTCCCTAATCTAATAAAGTTCCACACACACACACATTCATGACGCATTTCCAGCTGTCTGTCTCCCATTGCCAGTCTGGTACAGACAGGACACCATTTAAAATGCCAATGGCATTTTGCAGGGAGCAGCGTCCATTAGCCCTCTGGGCACTTGATTATCATACATTAGCATACGATCACATCTCATCTTACAATAGGCTGATCCACAATTTCTCTATGAATATTTACTACTGGAGAGTTTTTGAATATTAATCTCCATGCTACATATTTATATTGTAGTTTATATTTGATGCTGTTCATAACAGAACAATTATAAAACTGTTTAGTAAGCCCATACCCTGTTTTAATTTTAGTTAGTACAAGTTTAAAGTTTGATTTTATTTTGTTAGTAAAATTGATTGTAGTTTAGCAATAGTACCCCTCTCTCTCTCTCTGTGTATATATATATATATATATATATATGAAGAGTTCAGATGCAAAAGCCTCTAAGTGCCATATGAAATTTTCTTCTAGAAAGATCATTTTTATCAAGCTTGTATATTTAAGTTCAGTGATTTCACTTAAATGGCAATGATAATTACCTATTAATTGTTATTTAAGTGAAATTACTGAACTTAAATATACAAGTTTGATAAAATCATCATTAAAGAAGAAAATTTCAAATGGCATTTAGAGGCTTTTGCATCTGAACTCTTCATATATATATACACACACACACACACACACACACACACATACACATATATATATGTATATGTGTTTGTGTAGGTATATAAATATATAAAACTTTGATAATTGGTCAGATACCTGAGCACTGAACAGCAGAAATAAAGAATGTGCCGGGTGTATTTTAAGACACAAGAGGCTAGTCTCCAAAATGGCAGTCGCCCATGTTTGGCATTTGTCTTTCCCACTCCCTCTCTATCTCAGAGGCAGATCATAACTGGTTACATATTGAACAGATCCATGGGTATTTACGAAAGATTAGCCCCCAGAAAGGACATGCTCCTTTTATCAAACGAATGCAAACTTGCAAAGGTATTGTGAATGTACTTAAGCTCCCATTGTGTTACCAGAGCTGACCTTTTGAATAGAGCAATGAAGTCCACAATAACAATGTGATTCTCTCTCGCTCCCTCCTGGCCATTGCTTAGCAAAGCTGCCTGATTGACTTTCTGTTAAGCAACTTGGCTGGCCTTGGTGACACTCACTGGCCGACTGAAGATCAGTGCTGGAAACGTGGATTAAAAGTTTGATTGCATCTTAAGTCAATTATAATGAGTAAAGAGGTGCTAAGCATCACAATTTGCTGGAGTGTGGCCCCTTTGAACGAAGGCTAATTTCTTAAGAGCTAAGGATATTTTCAAAGAATAAAGGAGAGGGGATTCACATTCAACTCCAGGATTAGTAAGGATTGTTATCTTTCTTTCCCCTGGAAAGGTAGAGAGGGGATTTTGAGTTTTATGAGCAATGGGTTAGGTAAGCACTGAGAACGGATAAAGATTTGTAATTCAAGGGTGTATGCAAAACCCTTTCTTTCTACCTAAAAGATTTCTCAGTGGTATAAGCTGTTGTTTATGATCTTAAAATGAAGAGCTACATTTAAAAAGATAAAGAGCACAAATAAGAAGCTTTTTGGCTTTGACGCTCATGTCAACAGTAATGATATTTGTTGGAATAGTCATGTTTTCATTTTTGCAATTTTCTGTCCTCCTCCAGGTTCCTCCTGATTTTCAGCAGCATCTCCAAGGGAATTTTGGCCCACCTCAGCGGCCTCTACCCTCCCAGGAGCAATGGAGAGGACCACCACCACATCACCAGGATCAAGAGCACTTCTTCTCTGGTGGTAAGGTCAAATAAAGATGGTCACACACTGGTTGCCTGCATAGACTGTACCTGCATTTTCTTATATATATATATCTGTTTTGAAGTGTAACTTTAACAATGTCAGAATTGATGCTGCTGGTTTCTGGCTTCTCATTCTTTTTCTTACTTTCTCTTATTTCTAGAACCACGTTTTTCAGGCCAGCACATGTTTGACCAGCCAGGCCCTGCCCCCCTAATGAATAACAGCGTTCTTCCGATTTCGGGGCAAGGCCCTCCGTCTTTCCCCCCTCAAGGGGGACTCGGAGGTCCTGGATTTGGTCCTCTGGGGCTCGGGCAGAATCAAGGGTCTCAGGGAGATGGTGCTTTCCAGAGAGAACCTCTTCGGCCGGGTCTGGCCCCGCATCATGCAGGCCATCCAACACCCCATGGCTCCCGTGCCTTTGTGGGTCACAGACAGTCCTTCTCGCCCCAGCAGCAGGGACCCCCCTTTAGCCCCCAGCACATGCTGTTTGGTATGCAGGTACGCCAGAGAGTAAGTTGGTTTACCAGAAATCTGCATGGCCTTGCTAGCGTGATGAACATTATATTTCATGTTTGTTTTACTTTTTTTAATCTGTATTTACAAATTGTATAATGTGGTGGAGTCTCAGTCCTGTAATATTTCAGCTGTACACTACAATTAAGAAGTTTGAGGTTGGCCAGATTTTTTTTTTTTCATGTTTTTGAAAGAAGTCTCTTAAGCTACACACTGTGAGCCTTAGTACTCAATTCATATTTATTGCTCAGATCTGATTGGTTGGTAAAGCTGTTTACATTGACATAAATGTGGCCAATATCAGACTCCAGTGCGAACAGATCATGGTCCTGAACTGACCCACATGCGCAAAAGAACAATAAAAATGTCACACACACTGTCACACGAAAGTTTAAATGGAGAACATTGAAGTAAGTGATTTACGCGTTTATTTATAGTGTGATTTGCCGCTGAACCCAGCGAATTTATGAGGATGCCAAAAAGAGCAGAGTTCTTAAACATTTATGAAATGAGCCCTCGTGTTTTGCCTGTACATATAGAGCTGTCGCTGTAATACTAGTTCTGACACTTCACTGTCCTTCACTGACTACCTTTCGCAACTGTCTTGATAATGTCGGCTATGTAAAATCTTTGAAGTGACTCCCACAAGTGCAGAATTGTGACGAATGTTGCTCTAGAGCGAGGTAAGAATCGCTTGAGTCTCAATGTGATTGTTCAGACTGCGGTCGCGTTGCAAAACATCTGACCTGTATTGGATTTAGGACCACGTATGGGAGTAGCACAAATAGGAACTGAAAAGATCATATTCCATGTGGTTTGTGCTGTTCATACTGTCATGAGAAAAACAGGTGTAAGTCACCAAGTCAAAAAAATTGTACATGGGCCACATTTCTGCATTCTGAACGTAGCCTTTTGCCCACCAAGGGTGCATTTATTTGATCAAAAATACACTAAAACAGTAATATTGTATAATAATATTTGTTTAAAACAACTGTAAAATATATTAAAATAGGAAACAGTATGATTTATTACTGTGATGGCAAAGCTGAATTTTTAGCGTCATTACTCCAGTCTTTAGTGTCACATGATCCTTCAGTAATCGGTCTAATATGCTGATTTGCTGCTCAAGAAAAAAAATCTTAATGTTTTCAATTCTATCAACATATGTGCTTCTTAATATTTATAATTATGTATTTATTATATTTTTTTCAGTATTCTTATAGTATAATATTGATCAAAATAACAGCATTTATTTGAAATGGAAATATTTTGTGAGATTTTAAATGTCTTTAATGTCACATTAATGTAATGCATCCTTACTGAATACAAGTATTCATTTCTGTTGAAAAAACCCAAACTTTTGAATTGTGTTGGATATGGCACAGAGTCATACTTAAGGTGTTTTAGTTTGGTTCAAAACATGTTTCAAATTTATACATAGATGTTAGTTTGAAATGTAGGTGTTGTGTAGTGATCGACTGAGCAAGGAGAAGCTGCAGTCTTCAATTCAAGCAGCAAACAAGACTGCCCTCTTGTGTTAGACCTGTTTGTCAGTTCATGGTTATTTAAGGTCACTGGGTTAGTTGTTACTCATCAGATGTCTAACTCTCTTTCATGAAAATAGTTTCGTTCGATTATCATCAACCACAATATTCAAATTATCGTTATTTTTCTTTGCTTGACATTAATTGGTTTTACCAATGTCAGTTCAGCTACTAGTGACAAGGAACACCAAATTATTTGTTTGGTAAACTAATTAAATATTATACTATGCTGCTGAATTTACATTCAGCTGATTCAGCATATGATGATTGAAATCACAAATGGGCTTAAACAATTACTATAAAATTGCAAAATGTTGTTTTCAAATGCATTTATTTCATGCACGCATTGTTTCTGACAGCGTTGCACAAGTTTGCGGCGCCATCTGCGGGATACCCTTATCATGTTTCAAAGCGCCACATGCGAGTAAAATTCGGCTTTGAAGCGATGTTACTCACCAGTCTCCCCAGTTCCTTCTTTTTTATCTTTAGCTGATCAAATGCCTGTTTTATGCACATGAGTATAGGTCTCACTGGCTGTGTTCTTGTTTTTACGGTATTCAGGGTCTATTGCAGCAGCCCCTTCACCATGATCCTTCACTATCCCATCAGCCTTTGCACCAGCAGCAGCACCAGCAACAGCAACATAGACAGGACTTACCCCCACAGGGCCTGCCTCACTCCCAGCCTCCACCCCAACAGCACCACCAACATCACCTAAGGGATCACCACCCCATGGTGCACCTTTCCCAGCCCCATTTCCGCCAGTCGATTCAGAGTAGCCATAGACAGATGCCGTCTCGACCGCAGGGCAACCAGCAACGAAACAACCACGCCAGGCCCAGAATGGTAAGCCTTTCAAATCTGTATTTGTTGCACTAAGCAAGAGGTCAAGAGCAATATTGATTATAAATTATTAGTTGAACGACGTAGTCGACTAGTCGCTGGTGACGTCCTTAATGAACAAATAAGCCTGAACGTCGAGTTGAGACTCGAACGAGGGTCACCTTGTGCACAGCTATGCATATTTCTCTATTCTACATAACATCTTATTTTGGGTTGTTATATTTCACTCAGATTTCTGTTTGTTCTAAATCGGATACAGATATAGTAGCAGAGTAAAGATTACATTTATATGAATGCATTAGTGAGAGAGGAGTTGCGTGGGAATTAATTCTACCTGGCTGCGTCTCTCTACTAATAGTGCAGTTGTGGGTTTTAGTTACTAAAAATATATGCTAGAACTTTTCACTTTCTAAGCTATTTTATTGATAAATCACAGAAGTGTTGGCTAAACATTTCTGCACTATTAAATGTTTTTGTTATTGTCTGTGTGTGTGATTTTAAAATGCATCAGCGCATTAACTTACATGTACAACAATCTGTTAAAAACGTGTTTACCCGATCATTTTTGAGCAACCAGATGGTAAAATCAAACAATTTGTGGAGTGCTCTCGAAGCATGCGTTTATTTCTCATTGTAACTTTTTGTAACCGAGCATAAAAGTGGACTTCAAGGGTTTCTTACCCTGTTGCACCCTCTATCGGATATGATCAGTGACTAGTTGACGTCAAGCTGAAAGCTTCATGGTAGAGCATTCAAGTCGACTACTCTGTGCAACCTGTACTATATTTTATATGTGCAAGTCAGCTCACTAGGTTTTGAAGGAAAACTCGTACTGATTTTAGGGATTTTCAGTCTTGACAATACTTCTATGAATGTCAACACATTTATCTGTCCTCATCTTCTTCAGACGCCGCCGACTCCACTGCAGCAGATTCCTCCTCAACGCAACAGCAACCTTCGTGAGCTGCCCATCGCATCTAGCAACAATAATAACCGTCCATCAGTGCCTAGTGGGCAAGTAAAGCCAGTTACACAAAATGTTAGGCAAGGGCAGGTTGCTCGTTCTGGACCAGCAGGGAGGGGAGGACCTGTGGCACAAGGGCAGGGCTCTGCCAGAGCACCGCAGCAGCCCAGTGTGCCTGGGATGAAGACAGAGTGTCCAGCTGCACAGTCAAGCACCACTCCAGAGGTAATATATACACAGGACTATATACACGCCTCTATTTTGGGAGGGGTTAACATTCAGTATGTTTTCCACAATAGACTTTTGCAATGGGAGCTATTTTAAATGCTGGAGATTTTCAATTTGAACTGCATTTTTATACTGCAGTGTATCAATGTTCAACGTTATGGGAAGGAGGCGGCGGGAACCGGCGAACATTCAAAGACTTCAATAAACGTAAAATAAACAAATACAAAATTAAAGTAAAGACCGCAGCCCCTCACAGACGACTGCTGTCACATTTAACAAAACATAAATACAGGACTAGCCTCTCTCGATCTTAACTGTTGTCGCTTTTTTTATGCTTCCAGTCCTCCGTGAGAGATACGAGATCGGTGCGCCGCGCAGGTGTTGCTCATTATCAATCACGCCACCAACCTCGCACCGTTCTCTCACGTCACTCAGTCTCGTCCTGCTTCTCACATGCTGTAACCTCATTAGTTAGTTTATGTGTAGCATAGTCCTATTACTGTTGTGGCTAATGTAGGGCTGGGCGATATGGCCAAAAAAAATTATCACGATCATTTTTTTATATCAGTCGATATCGATAATTATCACGATATATGTCAAATCTTTATTTCTTTCAAGTTTAAAGGCAGATTTTTGCTCCTACGTGAAAGTTGTATTAGCCAGAGCGTAAATTGTGGTTTTAAACTACTCTTTATTGTCAGAACATATCATGACAAACACTTGCCAAACAGGTTTGAACATTTCACAAATATGAGGTAGAACATTCAAACATTTTTCCTTAAAACAAATCTCAATGGAAAATATTTCTTCAGCACAGTTTGCAGTGCAGGCTGCAATATTAAAATTACATGTTTTATCACAAAATGCATATTTGACAGTGAGCTGACAGTAAATCTGTCATACATCCTAACTCAAGATAATACTAAGCTAATGTTAAATTTATGTTTATTAAAGGTGCAATGTGTAACAAAGATGAGTATTTATTAACAGAAATGCAATATGACATCCATAACTATGTTTTCAGTGGTGTATAAAGAACTTACTTATTTAACCGTAACGTTTTTATTACCTTAGAATGAGACATTAATAGCTCCATAACCGCGGGAATCCCCTTCTATGAAGGTCGCCATGTTGTGACGTCATATTCCTACCGTAGCCGAACGCGAACAAACAGCGCTACAGAACGCGTTTCATCACTACCTTGAAAGAGAAGTAGCGGAAAGCTGGAAGCTAGCCTTACACTCCGTGAGTAGTGACTTTTCCCTTGTGAGTGGTGTAAAATATGTAGTTGGGATTGTTTCATGTAACTTAGTTCTCCCTCGCTGTGTTATGGGTTTGTTATGTTGGGGATAGATGTGCTGTTACGTTCGTGAGATAGCTGATGATTAGTATTTATGTCATTGACCGTAAAACAGTACGTTACAGGAATCACTAACCCGTCGATAGAGACTTTTAGATCACTAAAGTCGATCACGAAGAGTTTTCAAAATCAGAGAAAAAAGCCTATTGTGTGTAGTAAATAGTGTCTATGGGATGCGGAGATGACATGATTGTAACAGCGCGCGCACTTCCGACCTTTGGACTCGTGCGATGCGGACGCGTCCCAGCTCAGCCACAGTAACAGCTCATATTAGCCAGCTAAACTATTACTACCCTGTTAGAAAAAATATATAGCTGCTCCCTCGCTGTATTATGGGTTTGCTACAGTATGTGTGGATAAATGTGCTGCTGGTTACGTTTGTGAGACAATCAGCTGATTAATATTATTTTATTAAATTATATATTAAAACCCTTGATCCTCACCTGACTACTATGGCTTTGTAAACAGTATCCATGATGTGGTTTATAATGGACTGTGGTACAGAAACAGTGACAATGTTACACACTCTTGGCTTACTCTGGCTATTCTCTGCTGTCTCAGCCGACGAGATGTTTGTCCCGTTTTAGCAACCGTAGCTTCTTCGAAAGGGAGGGGTGAGCAGTGGGCGGAGCCATTAGTGCAAACCTGGTGCAAACTCGCAACCGAACCACTAGATGTCGCTAAAAGTCACACATTGCTCCTTTAACAAAAACAGTAACATCTGTTTTTTTTTGTTGTTTTTTTTAATGTAACGACCACATTTTTATTTGGTAAAATTTAATATTCTGACTGAGTTGTATTAAAATTAATCATTGGTCATCCAGTCTCATGCATTTAGATGATGATAACCACAGATAAAACAAGGCATAGCCTAACTTAGCACCTCACTATCATGGCAAAATGTAACTTTATGGTTTCTGTGGTATTTGTATGAAAACAGTGGCCTAACAGTTAAATACATTATTAAATGCTGTACTTATATTCCATAAGACATTTAATGAATTGTCTACATGAATAATATTATACAATTAAATATGTATATCCTACATTTCATGGTGCAGTTAATATTACTTGGCTAACCTTACAGTAAATCCATGTTACTGCCGTTTGGACTTTGAGCCGAGCGGATAAATGCTCCGTGTCGCGCGCGGTTCAAATGAGTTTCGTTCCGCTTTTGGGGCATAAACATTATCGAACATTTATCGACCTCTTGATATCGTTTTATCAAGAAAAATCATATCGCGATAATTATCGTTATCGTTTTATCGCCCAGCCCTAGGCTACTGTGCTCTCCTTATCATGACTGTACTTGTACCGATACTAAGCTTTGTTTTTACTATAATCCAAAATCAGTACAGATTAAAGTGAAGTATTTTTTAATAAAATGGATCTTAAGCATCTTGTGTAGGTTTTTTTTTACCTGAATTTTGCCATGAAAATATCCATGGAATTTAGCCAAACTAAACGTGTAGATGTTAGTTAGACTACAATTTGCCGTGGTGTTGTGCATGTTCACTGAAAAGGGTGACATGGAACGTTTATTTAAGCCTTCATATTTTCGATTATGTATTGTGTATACTTTGACAGAGAAATTGAGCTGTAGCTTGAATTTACAAATTATTTTAATCAAACTAAAATAAAAAGCTTGTTTAGCTTATCCTAAATTTATATTTGTCTTTGTTTAGGACCCAGATGAAGATGAGGAGACGCGTCAATACAGACTGAAGATTGAGGAACAGAAGCGTCTGCGAGAAGAGATCCTCAAGCGCAAAGAGCAACGCAGACAGATGCAGGCTGGTGAGCGCAAAAGACAACTGATGGAACGAATCACCGGCCAGAACCCAAACCAGACCCCACAAACGCAGAACCCCACACAGACCCCTGCAACCCAACCCCCGCAGCCGGTCCCTTCACTGATCTCCAACGGATCCCCCCAGAACCCTTCGTCAGGTGTTAGTTCCCCTCGTCCGATTGCAAAGGCTCGTCTGCAGAACACTAAGCCTCAGGCGCAGGCTTCAGGCTGGTCTGCACCACAGAAGCAACTGAACCCTGGTCCTGACGCCAACCAACAGAGCCAATGGCAAGCACAGCAGAAGAGGACCACTACCCCACAAAACACTCAAAGACCGGGTGCTGTTCAGACCGGCCCATTAGAAGGGCATGGCCTGGGTCAGCCTCAGCGCGGCGGAAAGAGGACAGTGATGCAAAGAACGAACAGCATAGAATCACCACAGGTTCCACAGAAAGTGCGACTAGTTAAGCTTCTGGGAGAGGTGAGTAAATTTGTTTAAACTCCGGATGTGATCGTTAAAGTTTATATGAGACCGATTTTCTTTCTTTCTTTATCTTTGCCCTTTGCTGGTTTTCTTGAAATAGTGAACCAGAACTCTTGATGGAATAAATCAAAGAACTCGTCTCAAAGGCAAGGAGGATTTCCAATTATTTCCAAAAGTCAAGGAGTCTACTTTTTTGACCACTAAAGTTTTTAGAGCTAAAATCTCTTTAAAGTATAAAGTGAATTTCTCTTTTTGACAGAATCAATACTGAATGTGGTCTCCATGCTGTGTTTTGTGACACCACACTTAATTGATAGAACACTTTTACCTTTTAAGCCCATAAATGGCACCATCTTAGCATCATTAAAGTGAGTCGCTTGGCATTTGCACCTTTACTTTGAGTGACAACCGATCCAGACATTCAAAAGGTTTGTGTCAAGGTTTCAGCTACCCTTTTACATTAAGACTAGAGTTTGAGGTGGTTATGTACAAATCTGACAGGACATTTAATGCATCTCAACCAAGAAAAGGAGGACCCAAGAATGATTTATGGGCTCTAAGAGATTATTTGCTGTGTTGAATGAAGAGAAAACATTCTTTTCCAGTCTCCTGCCTGAAGCAAAGTTAAATATCTCTTTTGAGTGTTGGATCTCTGTGGATGAAGATAACTGTGTGTCAACTTAGTTAATAGAAAGCTACACACAGCTATCTGAAATGCAGTGACTCTGACTGACAAAGAGGAAAAAGGGGGAGGGGTGTCAGACTGAGAGAAGCTGATCCTCTAGGTGCTTCTCTTCTCCTGCTGTCAACCTCAGCTGCCTGACAATGTTATCTCTCTTTCTTGTTCTCCCTTCTAACTTGTGCTCGCTCGGTGTTACTCTCTTCATCTATCTCGTCTGGCCTCTTGCTTTATCCATCCATCAGCTCATCATTGAAGTGTGTTAGAATAGGTGTCAGACCGGGGACATTTGCAATTAATCTTCCTCGTCTATGTTGATATCTGTGTAATAATACCTGCGAGAGTCCGGGAGAAAGATAGATGCCGGTTTGGGCAGATTTGTATTTTTCCCAGCTTAGCCGTACAGATAAGAGCAAATTAAATTTTCATCGGGAAGAATACAAAGCCTGCGCCTCACAAAAGCAGCATGGGGGATGGAGGTGACGGGGTGGGTGGGGGAGGGGGAGGTGCTTGTCAAGTGCTGTCACCCCGCCCTGGTGCATAGCAGCGGAGCATCTGATAGATGTAATCTGAATGTGGATTTTGTATTGAGTTAGATTAATCCATTAACTCCCTCAGATGGAGACAGACAGAATAGAGATAATGCACATATTTTAGAAAAAGACAGATAGGAAGAAAAGGATGAGCATAGCACGGGTGGCAATTATGTCTTTGTTGTAGACTGAAGCAATGTGTCTATAGGGAGAAGAATATTAATGTTTTACAAAGCCTGAATATAAGCGGCCCTGCTTTCGGATAAGGAATACATGCTGATGTTTGTTACTCTTTGTAGTAGGGCTGGGCGATATCGTATATCGACGATGTCTCACAAGTATCGCAATGTCGTTTATAATAGTCTGTTTCCAGACGATAACCATCAATTAAAAACAAAAACAAAAAAAAGACAAATGAAGAGACAGATGCAAAAACCTCTAAGTGCCATTTGAAATTTTCTTCTAGAATGATCATTTTTATCAAGCTTGTATGTTTAAGTTCAGTGATTTCACTTAAATGGCAATGATAATTACCTATTAATTGTTATTTAAGTGAAATTACTGAACTTAAATATACAAGTTTGATAAAAATCATCATTAAAGAAGAAAATATTAAATGGCATTTAGAGGCTTTTGCATCCGAACTCTTCAAATGTATTTCACATAGCCCTGGCCCGTAGTTATACTAGGAATGGGCATATTTCAAAAATATTGTAATATTTGGGCTCATAAAAATCAAATATTCGTTTATTTAAATGACGTTTAGCGAAAAAAAAGACGTTATTTTTTAAGTTTAAAGTTTTTACATCTTTGTCACCATTTCTGAACAAGTTTACGATTTCCCTCGAAATGCTCCTCATAAATTATTTGTTATTAAAGCATTAATGCACAAACCACACTGTTATAACATAAAAACAAGCAAGCTAACTTACAATCATGCATACTTTGGCATGACTGCATGCAAAATGCGCTCCCATAAAAATCAGTTCATTGCGATCTCACACATCTCTTGTTATTATCAATGAATCTTTCAAAATATCTTCATTTTGTTTGTTTTAATTAGAGGATTTGCTAGCATACAGAATTCATCACTGAACAAAAAGTCAGTTTTGAGCGGTGAGGGAAGTCTATCGTTTTTTTATTCTCCCTCAACCCAAACACACAGAGTGAGTGCATTACCGCCTGCACTCACTCTTATGACGTCATCACCCACTTACTGTAAAAAACATGATACCTTTGAAGAAACCCCAATAACACTAAGCGCAAGATGCGCCAAGAAAACACTTCTGCATGCGCATTTTTTTTCTGAGCTGCACACACTTCCAAAGCGAACACAGAGAACCGTTTCTCATACAGTGGGGGGAAGTATTTAAAACACTGACAATTTTGCAGGTTTTCCCACTTACAAAGCATGTACAAGTCTGTAATTGTTATCATAGGTACTTTTCAACTGTGAGTGAACATCTCAGTGTATGATTAAGTAAGTCATTTGCATTTAATTGCATGACATACGTATTATATCACCTACCAACCAGTAAGAATTCTGGCTCTCACAGACCTGTTAGTTACTCTTTTAAGAAGCTTTTCTGTTCTCCACTCATTACCTGTATGACCTGCACCTGTTTGAACCCGTTACCTGAATAAAAGACACCTGTCCACACACTCAATCAAACAGACTCCAACCTCTTCACAATGGCCAAGACCAGAGAGCATCAGATAAAATTGTAGAGCTGATCACAGTATCATCCCAAAATCAGAAAGCATCACATCATGGAACTGTTTTATTCAGTTATTCTTCTGCCACATTGTATACATTTTGTAAACTCCAAGGCCTGGAATTGTATAAATGATTGGTTTTGATATAAGCAGTCTGAATATTTGTGATAGTCAGACTTTAGCATGATGTACTGTTATGTTAATTTTGTATGCCATTGGGGATTTTTTTTGTATGGGTTTTAAAATGTATCTGCTCTGTATTCTGTAGGCAGATGCCAGTCCCAACACTGGTCCGCCACAGCAACAACCAATTGGTCGGCCTGCCCAACAACAGAGACTTGGTCCCATCAGGAAAGTTACCATGGCAACTGGTGGTGTACAAAGTCAACAACAGGCAGGCTGTGGCGTGGCAAACCAAACGAACCGGGTATGACATTGAATCTGGATTACTCTCATAAGCTCTTAATTGGACAGGTGCACAATGCCATTTTGCACAGCTTACACTAAGCCCTGATATACTAATGGTGCTTTCAAGTCATGTCAGACTCGGAATGAACGTATTTACTACTTTTTTTAAGCCATGGGTCTCTGAGTTGGGAACTTCTGAATTACAGCATTGTGGCAGTAGCAAATTGCTGTTGGTCATAATAAGCTGTAATTGTGGATTATTTGAATAGACTTTGTATACCATTGATAAAAACGATCAAACTTGCCAGAAAGTTACGTAAGTGCATTGCCCTAATATTGGCACCCTTAGTTAATATGGGCAAAGGTGGCTGTGAAAATAAATCTGCATTATTTATCCTTTTGATCTTTCATTAAAAAAATTTCATGGAAGTAAAACAATTGAAAGTGGGTGGAAACTCACATTATTAAACACATTTTTTTTACTCCAATGCATGTTGGCCACAATTATTGGCACGCCTAGAAATTCTTATGAGTAAAATATCTCTGAAGTATATTCCCATTCATATTTACTTTTTTTTACACACACCAGAGTGACTAGAAGCATGAAATTTTCCAGCCATGACTTCCTGCTCCACAGGAATATAAATATACAAATATACAAATTCCCATTATCATTCATCATAATAGGGATTTTCACACTGTCTTTAACCCTGGATTAAAGGAGCATTTCACACTTGTAATTTAGATGCGGGGTTAGCACTGGTTTTGCTCCAGATCTGAACTCTGCATTGCAGTGCCAAACCGTTACAGTGTGAAATGACGTGGTGTTATGCTACAACTAGATACTTAGCAACCAACAACCAGTCGCGTTCCTTACATTCATGCACTTTGGGCACGGAAACACAGTATGTAAACAGTTGCTTCTGCATTCTGCTAGGAAAAATGTCAAACGGTGATGGAAAACGCAAGAATTGGAGACTGACTGGCCAAAGACTCTTTAAGGATCACAGATGGAGGATTGCAGAGATTAGTTGAGTATTAGGGTCAGAGAGCCTAATAAATGATCAAACAGCACCTACGTCCCCACATGTTCTTTGGGAGTGTTTAAAGAAAAATCCTCCTCGCTCATCCAAATACAAACTCCAGCATAATCAGTTATTCAGTTGTCAGACACGACTGGAACTTCAAAGGGACTGGATTCAACGGTCAAATGAAAGTAAAAAAAAAAAAGCTATTTGGCAGCAAAACCACCAGATGATTTTTTTTTTTTTTTTTTTTGTAAACAGGGAAAAAAGTACCCCATGCCCACTGTTAAATATACTGCTGGATCTTTAATGTTGTGGGCTTATTTTCTTGCTGGAGGTCCCTGGACATTTGGACATTGGATTCTAGCAAATACCAACAGATAAAAATCAAAACCCGACAGCCTCTGCTCGAAATCTTATATTGGGCCATGGTTGGATCTTCCATCAGTACAATGACCTAAAACGAAAATCAACACTACAATGTGTCACTGAGCACAAAATGTCCCCTGATCTGAACCCTATAGAAAATGAGTGAGGAGTACTGAAGAGGAGAAGCAACAGCATGGATCTGGGAATCTGCTGGATCTGGAGAGATTCTGTATGGAGGAATGGTCTTTGATCTCTTTTTTGAAAACTCGCGCACACATTCACGCACTACTTCGTTGTTGCGTTAGAACTAAAAAGCTTTTTCTTTGTCAGGAATTGGAAGGGAGAAAAGGATGAAATTGTCCTGTGTGTCCACTTTATTCTGACCAAAATCACTTGAATGCACATGTCATAATTCTATTTATAATTGCTTTTCTTCATGCGCTTGTATAGTGCCGTCCAGAATATACAATCCACATCTGCACTCTTTGTTCGAGTTTTTCCCTGTCATGAAGAGCTGCTCTAAGTGGTTCTCTCGCTCACGCTTCAGCACTAGTAAAGACGGCAGATTTGGTTTCCTGTTATGGCTCAGCTGTGTCACTGCTTCTCCCAGGGGATGGGTAGCTGTTTTGGAAGAGAGCAGGAGCAGTAATGATATGGAACAGAGTGCCAGGTGTGATGATATTGACAGGCTGAAGCAGGAGAGATGAAGATCCCTTGGCCTTTTCCGCACGCTGCCGTCTCTGTACAGTAGTCCGTTCTCAGGGGACAAATACAGTGCTAACGTGTGTCAGTCAGTCACAGCAGAGTGCCTTCCTGCACAGCCTCTCGCGCTGTCTCAGTCAGACTGTCTTGCTGAATCTGCCGAGCTCTCTTGTTGAGTCAGATATTCTAAACACTTGCTGCTGTTTACTGATATAACCGTGGCCTTGTAAATCACTCACTCATATTGTATCCGGTGTCTCGCTGGGAGCAAAAGTTTTTTTTTTTTTTTTTTTTTTTTTTACTGAGCAAGTGGTGAGAGAGCATCTAGCACATAGCATTGAGAACCCATAAGGGATTTTTCAGCATGGCAGCTGCAATAGTTGGGGGTCCAGAGCCAACCAGGCCGTTTTGATGCACTTTTATTTGAAAACATGAGTGAAATGCCTGTGCTTTTTTCTGGAATATTTTATCGGAACCCAATTTGAACCGATTTAATTTTTTAAATATATTTAAATATACATTCAGCAACACAATACATCAATACATAGTATTATATATATGTTATGTGTCTGTGGGGTTTTAAAAAGTATTAAAAGGCAGTAAATCAAAAATTTTTAAAATGGTAAAAGGCCATTAAAAAAAATTAATCTCAAATTTACGAGGTATTCATTTTTTTTTTGCAAACTACGGGATAAACGGTTGTCTTTCAAATTCATTCTGCACGCAATAGGATAGCGGGGATGACCATTAAAAAGAGACTGATAATCGACAGCAATAAAGAATCCCACTCGATCCCCCTACCACTCCCGAGTCCCGCGGCCGTCGTCTGACTAATTTAAGCGAGGACAGTAGTCACAGTACTTCTGAAGGTAAACGGGCCGGGGTGGATGTGGAAAGTTGAAATATTTTATTGAGAATTCGATTATCACACGGGAGTGATCGCATGGGTTATCTTAAAATACTCCGTCCTTCATTCGTTACTCATATAAGAGGAAGAGCCATGCATTTAGCCATGCAAATGATTAAAATTCTCAAGTAATGCCAAACAATGAAAGAGCTGTGATTTGTGGATTACTGATAAGTGCGAGCCTGGAGAAAAAGGCATTTATTTATTCATTCCTATTGTTGAGAAACGTAGCCTGCCTGCATATGTTACATTATTGTCAAAACTATCTGCTTGGGAAATGAAGTGTCAAAATCCAAATGATCAACACAGAAACCTGATCCACTCTTGCTAATCTTACTTGTTGCATGCTCAAATTCTGAGCTACATTATTACAAAATCGAGGTTTTGTATTAGCAACTATCTGTTTATTTGTACAAAATGCTGCGCATTCATGTAATTTCTGGATTTTGCACACTCAAGTTGTATTGTATTAGTTTAAATATAGTAACGCACATTTGTGAATTTGTTAAATAGATGGGTTGTTGGGCACACATTAATAACTAGCACCAGTTCTATTCATTTGTAGTTGTTTGTGTGTGGGTTGTGAAATGCTTAAACCACGAAAAGAAAGTCTCAAAATCCAAATGAATCAAATGAGATTGACTCAGGAAAGACGTCAATGAATGTATGCGCATCACCTGATCCGCTCATGCACAACAAATCTTGCAAATTGTGATCCACCTGTACAAAAGAAAACATTTGTATTCACAAAAATGTCTCTATTTGTACAAATTGCAACACATTCGTTCAATTTTGAATTTAGCACATTTAGCACAAGTTGAAAGGCATTTGGTTGTGCATAGTAAAACATTTCTTTAACATTAATCAAGTTCATTGATATTTGTGCTTGCATGTGTTAATCATTTTGATACTACATTCATCCCATACATTTGCGCCATTTTTTGCAGTGATAAGTTGTATTATTGTTTATTTTGTATAAATATATTATTAATCTCATATAGATTTTGTTGAGTTAATCAACCCACTAACAAAGCACTTCAGTTTCCCTGTGCAGCTCAATCAGCAATGCTGTTCTTTGAAACAGTAATATTCATTTTAGATTAGTTTCCTTTCACTCAACTCAACTCGACTTTAATTTATAAAAGCACTTTCAAAACCATTAAAATGGACCAAAGTGCTGCAGCTTAGGTGAGACTTCTTTCAAATCTGTTTTGTACATGATCACATCCAGGTAGTAGCCTACGCATTTCCGCGTCGAAGGCATAGCCAGCTAGCCAACTGTAGGCTGCAGTAACTAATAGTACTGACAGTAACTCACGATTGCACTGAGCCTCAGTGGCCTCAGTGCGTCATCAAGTAGGGGCTTGTCCAGGAGCTCAGGGGCTCCAGTGCGTCATTGAGCCCCCGTTTTAGCTCTGCTCAAAAAATCCAGAAAATAGCAATGGTGGTTTAACTGTTTAACGTACTTCAGTTCACAGTCTTTGTAATATGTTTTAGCAATACATTTCTTACATTTATAATATGTTTAGAATTTTTTGTAGAATTGCCTTCACAGAGACTTTAAAATGACCATCATCGGCAGATATGAATATTACTACCTAGAGTCGCTGTGGAGTACTTGTATTTAACATTACTGTCGTAAATACCACTCACGCAGAGTGTGACGTGTTACCTAGTATACAATAGTACATTGTGTTTAATTTGTGGTTTAATGAGATCTAATATACTGTATGTTGTTAGTGGTGAGAATTTTCACGTGATTAAATACATGGATCCGACTATTATCCCCATGTACTTTAATGGTCCAGAGGCAGAACTTTTGCCAAGTGTGTCAGAGGTTCTGGGCTCTAATCCGCAGTAGTATAGTTTATTTTCCTCATCAAAACCGATTGTTTATTAGTGGTTGTATATGAAGCAGGGCCACTTTTTTGTGTATTAGGTTTTGTGATTTCACCGTAACAAATATTCTCTTAGTCTCCGCAACGGATTGAAGCGCACGTCCGTGTGAAGACTGTGCGCGTCACAACAGAACACTGTATCCGCGCCACTGAATGCAGCGGCAATGAGCACTTTGCTCACTTGATTTAAAAGAACAACACATTTCAGATCAAAGAATGACAATTTAAATATTTGGGAGAACTATCCCTTTAATGTTAATAAAACAACAAAACACAATGAGGAAATCACTTACTGCTTTTGACTGAGAACTTAAATAGTAGCTTTAATAAGCTTTTTTTGCACTTAAAAAATATACAAATGCATAGGTATCGGCCTCGGGCAAAATTAGTTTGAAATTATCGGCATATCGAATATCAGCCAAACTCCAATATCGTGCATCCCTAATTTGTGTAGTGTTTTTGTTTAGCATCAGTCTTTATACAATTATTACAATATTAAAGGCTTATATTATACTGACATAAAGTTTGTGCTTAACTGTGGCCTTTTCTTTCTTTAGTCTGCGCCAATCATAGAGCTTTGCTTTCAAGGTCAAAGAGCTCAGCTTCAGTCTCAACAGGCCACAACATTTTCATTCACCAGGTTTTGTCACTTGGCCTCTAGCAAACTCCAGGCGTGACTTAATGATTGCCTTTTTCAGAAGTCTCTTTCCTCTAGCCACTTCACGCATAATGTACCCGATTTTTCAAGTGCGTACACCAAATTTCCAGCATACACCCAAAACCACAGTGACTTTGAGATTTATCAATATGGACGTTGATGTATGGCACATTCAAATCCTACGGCAGCTCAGGAGGTGGTGTACATGTACGCACGTTTTGAGTTAGTGCGGAAATGCGCAGAAAAACAATTCCTAACACCACAAAGCGGACTGACAAACTAAAAGATATGATATATTATGACCTACTGTAAAAAAAAAAAAAAGCAAAAAACATAGTAATTATAAACTTCAATGTTTATTTTTTGCAACATGGACTTCAATGTTTAAGTTGTGTGACTTTAACACAGCATTTGATTTGTAGGCATGCCAGTTTGTATTACTTCAGATGCTAGTCTGTGCTTTTTACCTGACATTTCAAAAAATAATTCAGAGCGACAAAAAAAATTACATTCTTCTTCTTTTAAATAGTAATACAAATAATAATAATGATATTCTTCCTTTAAATAACAATAAGCGTCATTAATAATAAAAAGAATATTACAAATTTTCATGCAATTATTGATGTGAATGAATGGTACTCCACATCACATCATCATCACTATTGTACACCCCAATACATGTGACGTGATACGAAGTGAAATGCTAATTGTTTTTAAACGCATGCTGTAAAATAATGCATTGTGATAGGTCATTTCGGCTCCACGTCAGAAAAGCACTGGTTCCTAATGTGATTGTCTCGTCTCACTTTTTTTTATTAATATCATAGTGGTTGTTTGCTGGTAAAATGTACTGTTAATTTAATATTCCCCTTGCTTATGTCCACAGTTAGTAGTACGGGGCCGGGGCCGAGGACGTGGCCGTGGTGGGGGGCGAATGATGATGCAGCAGAGCCCAAGAGCTGAGGATTGTCAGCCCAGCACTGTCTGCATTGAGGGTTTATCCACCACCACAACCAACAAACAGCTCATGAACCTTCTCAACTCCATTGGCCCTGTTGAGGTTAGGCCACTTTGACTGTTTGCACTTTTCCAAAACGTATATCTATCTTTTGTTGTTATTATGGTTCAAGTAAAGGTGTACGTTGTGTGTTACCTGCTAAATCATTATTACAATGCCCTGAGCAAACAACACCAAATTCGTGATAGCACCACCTGCTGGCCAAAGAGCATAAAACATGGCTAAAGATATTTAACTGCATCATTTTAGAATACAGTATCTGGGTCTAAAGTGATGCTTCTTTGCACCATATATATCAGAGGGGCTTCTTTTGGCGGGTTTATTTAATTTTTTAACCCTAAGCTTATTTATTGTGTTAACTTAATCTCAGTTAACTGTTTTGAAGACCATAATATCTTTAGAGCAAATATCTCCAGCATTGAAAGTGGAACATATTGAAATGAAATGGTATTAAAAGTAGGACATAGCTGGTTGAACAGCATTATGTTGATGAGATCCTGGGTTTACTGTCGTTTGAATGTTTAAATCATTCCATGAGGAGTCATTTAGTAATTCTAGAAATTTATAACATGGTCTGTCTGAGTAGTCAATTCTGATTGGCTGGAAGGTGTGGATTCAATCTGTTTAATGCACAGATAGTTTAATCACCAATGTGCTGCCTTCGTAGCACAAACATACTGACAGTCACTCACATAGAGAGAAATTCAGGAGCACTGAAACTTGTCAGTCTAGTCAAATTTTGCACTGCAGACGTCAATCACATGATTAACTATGATGTATATTCTGGCGGTGCCTTGCTACAAGTGAGATGGTCCACGACTAGGTGGTCCTTTGCCTCCACATTGTGCATTAAAATAATTTGTAAAAATGTAATTTATCCCCTACATACACTTGCACATAAAAGCAAATCTCGTTTGCAGCTTACCTCGACTTCCTGACTGGCCCAAGAATAAACTGTTTTCTAGGTCTCTTAAAAATATCACAATAGTGCCATCTAGCTGTGTGCATTCAATGATGCACTCCTGTGTGACTTTTCCCCTGCTCTTGAGGTGTATCACCCACTGTTATTGTGTAAATAAACAGGTCATCTCTTTTAGAAAATGTAGATGAATGTATATATAATAAAACCTACCTCTAAAACATTTGTGTGATTCTTTAATAGATGTTTACAATGTTGCCTGAGCAGCGGAAGGCCATTGCCAAGTTTGTGAACCCAGAACATGCAGTGAGCTTTCAGCACAGCTTTCACAGGTACGTTTTTTAATTAATCTCATACGTAGTTGTGCTTTTGTTATTACACAACGTATGAACATGAGTGGAGTCGTTGCTATTTTTTAGATAATTTGATTTTGGGGCTTAACACCCCTCCTCCCCCATGTTTTATAGAACAAGACTTGTTCACACTAACGCCGCCTTCACACGGTCAGTTGAAATCCGGTCCATAATACACAATACGCCCCCAACGGACGTCGTGCTAAACTGCGAAAAGCGTCAGAAAAATGGCGGAGAGATTAGAAAGGTTGATTCTGTCAGTTCTGTATGATCGCTCTGATGAGGGTTATAGAGATATTAATAGGAAGGCTGCTGCGTTGACATGTCCGGTCGGCTAAAAAAATGTGATATAATGTCAATAGTTTGATGTCTGCCTACATTTTAACTGTATTAACTGTCCAAAAAAAAAGGTTAGAAAGTCATGAAAATAAAAAAATGACATGACAACTTATTGTTAAATTAAATCACTATTCATTTTATTAAACGTTAAGAATTCAGGTTTGTTTATCAGTATCATAACAATGCTAACTTCCGCTGTAATTGTCGGATGGGAACCGTCCGTAGCTTTTCGCAAGAGTTAAATTTTTTTTAACGCATCCGGATGACCAACGGACATGATTTTCTTCGCACCGCACTCGGTCAGACCCGTTTCGGACCCATTTGCATGCGGTCTGCGAATCTCCATAGGAATAGAATGACTCCGGTTTTCTCGGGGCCGTATCGGAGCTGATTTTCACTGCCAGTGTGAAGGTGGCGTAAGACTTAATATACATTATAAATGAAGTTTGCGAGTAAGATTTTGATTAGATTACTATGGACCTTTTCATGTCTGCTCCATGTTAATAGCCTTGTCCTGCTCTGGAGGGCCAATGTCCTGCAGAGTTTAGCTCCAACCCCAATTGAACCAGCTAATCAAGGTCTTACTAGGAAGACTAGAAACTTTCAGGCATGTGTGTTGTGGCAAGTTGGAGCTAAACTCTGCAGGACAGTGGACTGAGCTTGGACATCCCTGGTCTACATGCTATTGTTGTTGTAGGACAGTTATCAAATATTGAATCTCTTGAAAAAAAGTGTGAAATGCTTGAAAAAATTGTGCAACAGCATTAGACCAAAACGTTCGTTAACGTGTTGGTATATTTATGTGGTGTTATTGGCTGACGCAAATCAGAGTTGTTGTGCCTAATGGTTTGTGTCACTGAAAGGCAAATGAAATGTGCATTAGCAAGCGTCACTCATCATAACTGTGTAACAAAGAACAAGAGCTCTGCTGTAACTCTACTGACTGTCACGTTGTGATGGAGATGCCCCAGTTTAGCTTGCTTTTAAATGTGAGTGTCTCATTTCAATCACATGTTCCCTTGATTACGTAGGCACATGATAGATTTGTCTCACATCGATGTTTCCGTTATTGATGGCTGAGGAACAAGTCAGTTCAACACAAGAGAAGACAAGAGAAGTGAGCAAGAAGAGCACTTCTTTTTCTGAAAGACGGGCGAACAATCGGACGCACAATCAGGATGCTAAAGCTTTGGATGTTGTGTGGAAAGTACTGTCAACAAACTCAATTCACATGCATGAAAGAGTAAAAAACAAAGAGCCAAACACTAGCTGTGTCCTGCTGGATATGGCGCAGCTTTAGAACTCATGTTGTGAATGACTTTGGCATTAAGTCTCACTCTTGTTTCTGTACATTCATTTATATATGGAAATCAGTAATGTTCTGAACCAGCAGGTGAAAAGAGACTGAGGTATGAAACCAAGTCATTTTTATGACACTTGATAATAGTTGCTTCCATCCTGTAGTTCTCAAGACAGATCATCAGAACAGTTCTTTTCAATAGGAATTCTTGATTTATTTTGTGTTTTCCAGTCATGGACTTGAACAAAGTGTTAGATGGGGGCCTGACTGACTGAATGTTCTGCATGCTGCAGTTGTGTTTGTCACCGGTAGAGGGCAGCAGAACTCTACTGTATGGAGCTCAGGGCATGTTGTGGACATCAGAGTGAAAAGCACTGCTTTGTGGAGGTGCTGTTGAGGAACTTCAGGGGCATTTTTGGGTTGTGTTTTTTTTTTTTTTTTTTTTCTAGTTGAATATCTTTGGAAGCCACTGTGAGATTGCGAATGTCTCATTTTTTGTGCATTTGTTCATCATTATTTATTATCTTAAGTTTATTCATGGTCCCTCTCACCATTATCAGCGAATTGCAGTTGAGTTTTGTTCTGCAGAGCTCGAGTGGTGGTTCATGACATGTGTCTTTGTGACAGACTATTTGACAAAATTGGCTTTTATACTTTGATTTTAAGTTGTGGTGCTGGAGTCGCATATTTAGATTATTTTAATTGTCGTTAGAAATGGCTTCTAGGAAAGTATTAAAGGCTGCCAGAAAGTCCCCCCTTTGGTAATGCTCCTTTTAATGTGCTTAGTTTTCTTTCCTCAGAGTTTAGCACATTGTGTGTGGAAGAGAATGACTGAATCAAGGCCCGTGTGATGATTTGGTAGGATTTTATTGTAGCTTTTGATGGTGGTGTGGTGTAGTTTGGTCATTTGTTTGTGAAGGGAGATATTTTGAACAATATCTAATGTTTGTGTGGTTATAGCTAGGGCCCAGTTAATTGTTTTGCTGTTGGTCTCACAGTTGACTAGCTAGGGATAGGGATTGGTCAACATCAGCTGTCAAGTACTCTTCCAAAACCCTTCATCTTCATTTTCTACTTTATTTTGTATGTTGTTACCCATGAAGACTTGTTTTTTCTTTCATGTTTTCATGTATTCTCAGTCTCCAGTCAATATATTACAATCCCTGTTTTTTCATTGCTCTAATCATGAGTATTTCACATCCCAAATTGTTGTTATATCATCATCATTATTATTCATATTGATAATACTCATAGTAGTCACCAGTATAGTGCTTGTAAAGTTTAATTGTACAACTTAAACTGAACTGTCACGTTATCGCCCCAGAACTGCTCTTTGGTTTAGTGGTCCTATTTTAGTTAATTGAATCCAATCACTTTACATTATAAGCTACTTATGTAGCAAAAACAGTCTTGTTATGCTATCTAAAATCGCTCCGTTTTAGATAGTATAACAAAATCCCTGTTATGTAAATAAATGATCAAATAAGTGTTTGTAGTTATTAGCACATCCAGGTCTACAATTTCAAAGGATTTGGGAGCAACTATTATCAGTGGTCACTTTTTTTGTATATAATGGGGGGAAAATGTGTATGAAGCTGTCAAGTCTGTTGTTTTCTCATATTGAAGTCTTTCCATGTTTGAAATGGTTTAAAAATACCCTACTTGTATGTGACAGGTGACTTTCTTTTCTCAATTTGTTTTTATATATCAGCATAAAAGTATCCCTTGGTCATTTTACAACAATTTTGTTATTGCAGAACTTAGAGCTTATTATTTGAAAATATTTTAAAGATGATAAATAAAAGGTGGTCACATATATACCATGTAAATACGGGTATGTGAAGCCAACTGTCTTTATCACCATTAACTGTTGTCTGATGTTGTTTTGTGTTTGAAGATTTCCTCTTGCATCCTAAAATATGTTTTGTTATTCAAATCACAACATGCTTATTTCCCTAATGTTTGTCCATCCTCCCGAATGTTTCTGTTGCCAAATGTCGGGGAAAATATTTTATTTGTAATTGAGGTGCAACAGTTTATCTGAAGACTTTTCTCTTGACTGTCCAAGACTTTGGGCCATTGGCTTTCAAGTTCATTTGTAAAGCTGCTATCCTTCAACACCCTCTTGCTTTAAGATGCACTTGTTATTTATAATATAGTAGTTGGTCATGATTAATCCCAGTACTCTTTGTCTATATTTTTGTATTAATAATTTACATTGTGAGTTTCCAGGAATCACATATATATATAATGGGTAAGATTGTGAATAATGTTATAAAATCAAAACACATGGATCCTGACTAAGATTTTTACATTTATTTATTTTTTATTTTTTTGTTAACTTTGAGTTTTGTAGACATGCTCTGTTTAAAATTGGTGTAGGGCACAAATTTGTTTTTATTTATTGGTTTGAATGTATTTATATAAAAAGAGTGAATCCTATGGATTTAAAAGGTTTCAGCTAGTCTGAAAAAAAACACTATTTTAATATATTTCTATTTTTAAATCTTATAAGACGTAATGTTTATAAATGGTCTTATAAGAGAGAAAAACAGATTCATATTGAATCTTTTAGTAACTTTATTGTAAGTTTATAATAATTTGGGGATGCTGTCCCTTTCCTAACTGTAATCACACATGTGACAAGTTTAATTTTTCAGAGATTGACTTATTGGTCAGAGATTTTAGATAAGCTTTATAGTCTAAAATAATGTAAAAGGTATTTTACTTTTTGGTATGTTTTTGTTTTATATTGTTTTGTTTCTTTATTTTTGTCAATCACAAGTGGCTGACACACTCCCCATGTTTTATTTTTTTATTTTTTTTGACATGGGTCCTGCTGCAGTTGAACAATTGGCCAGTTTATAGAAATACCAGGATGGCCTATTGCTTCAAGATTAGGACTTATAGACCTAGTTTCACAGACAGGGCTTATATTAAGCCAGGATTAGGCCTTAGTTCATTTAGGACATTTTAAGGAACTTTTATAAATGTGTTTTAAGACATTTTAAGATATGTTAGTGCAAGTTACTTTCCGTTAAAACAGCTTAATCATGCATTTTAGTCTCAGGCTATCTTAAGCCTTGTCTGTGAAACCTGGTGTTAGATTACTTGCATTTCTATAATGGTAGTCAGCTCTTAGACCAGAGATGTGGTATGTTTTTACTCATACAGTAGTTTTATCTGTCAAACACAATACACTGCTTCCTGTTTGGCAGCGCTATGATTATTTGTCACTTTTAATTAAACCATTTTTTTCTCTTTTCCAGGACAGAGCTTCCGGAAGCGCAGAAAGGAGGGTTTTTCATAAAAAAAATTCTCTGTAGCCCCTTCTGATGGCAGATGGCATTGGTTTTCAAAAGGAATTATTAGGACAATTTATTTTACATTGCACTAGCAAATTGTTTGTAGTAATACCACTAATGCTTTCTGACTGTCAGGGTGAAATTACGTGTAACTGTTTTAAATTATGGAGTTCATTCTGTGGCAAGATTAGGAGATTTGCAGAACATACATTTGAACACAGCAGATATAACTTTAAAATTAGGGTGATCTGATGAGATTGTTTTGAAAATGACATACATTTTGTCATTTTTACAATAGCAAACAATCATTGCAACTATTGCACCGGAGAGGACGATGAAGTATAAAGATTTGTTTTGATTAATCTTGTTTAGCACTCAAGTTGATGGGTTCGAAGTAAACTTTTAATTGCATAGTTTTTGAGCCTTTTATGCTATATTTGAGCCAAACAGTCTCATGAAAGTGCGTATCTTATACCACAAATGTCATTTCTTGTGGCATTTATAAACCAAAAATGGTTTTTGTGTGCATATGCTACATACTGAAAACCCCTTGGGTAGGTTTAGGGGGGTGGGGAGTTTGTGCGCATTACACGCCATAAAGTATGTATCATATGCACGCGAATACTGCGGATCATATAGACGCCAAAACTATTTTTGGCGTATAAATCGCACGAGAAATAACATTTGTTCTACAGATACGAACTTTCATGAGATGGGGCTCTTGAGCCTTGTTTATCAGCTTTAATGCAGTGATTGACTGAAGGGAGAATCGTGCATAGCTGATACCTTCCCATACCTGCATCCCACTGCAGTGCTCCTGAATTCTGGTCTCCAAGACCTGAACACTGTGAACCAGCAGCCTATACTGTTCAGTTGAAATCAGAGGCCTATTTATTACCGCGTTGTGTATTGACTCAGGTGTTTATCTTTCTGGTTTGATGATAGTGTGAGAAAAATAACATTTTATTGTGTTGTCAAGTTTTGATCGTTAATATAATCTAAATATGTTTATATGAATTCCTTCTTAAAGGGATACTCCACTTTTTTGGAAATAGGCTCATTTTACAACTCCATCAGAGTTAAACAGTTGAGTTTTACCGTTTTCGCATCCACCCAGCCGATTTTCTTATATTTAAAAGACTATCAGTAACCAGACAGTTTCTGGTCTCATTGACTTCCATAGTAGGAAAAAAATAAATACTATGGAAGTCAATCAGACCAGAAACTGTCTGGTTACTGATATTCTTCTAAACATCAGAAAATCGACTGAATGGATTCGAAAATGGTAAAACTCAACTGTTTAACTCTGAGGGAAAAAAAAAGTGGAGTATCCCTTTAAAATCATTCGAGTGAAGGTCCTTTCACCGTGAAATAAACATTGCTTTTGAAAACCTCTGCATATCTAAAATTATGAGTAACAAAATAAAATGGAAATATTAAAGTAATATGAAAAACCCTCCTTTGTTTTCAGTTCTAAATAATGTTTTCTACAGTAGAGCTGCGTCCAGATGATGCTAACTTGTCTTATTTTCTCAACAGGTTCTCTTCAGTTTAAGTGGTACCAGATATCCCTTCTCTTGTATCTTTCTCTCTTTTTCCCCCCTCTCTCTCTCACTCTCTCTCTCTCTTCCCTTCTCCTGCTTTTCTGTTCCTCTGAGGCTTGATGGGAAGGCTGTTGTTGATCTCACTGTGGTGTTGTGTGAACATAATCCTTCTGTATTAAAGCAGGGGGACCTTGCTTCTGGATTTCCTTTCTGTATTAGCCCACGTCCGTGGAAGTTTTGCGTCTCTGGGACCACACCCTACTGAGTTCCAAAGTTCAAAAACTTGCACAAATCCCAAGAATGATCTGTACACTCTTGCCAGCTGTACACACGTGTTGTGTTGTTGGATGAAAAGAAAACATTACTTGGAAATCATTATTGTATTGGGAAAGTGATATATGCTGCTTTGATCGCCGTTTTGTTGTCCTTCAGTCTTGTATTAATGCAACGGTTTTGATGTGTTTGAAATGTGTACACAGGACTATCCTACATACAATTTTCTGAAGAATATAAATGGTGTTTGTTTAGTAACCTTTTATGGAGCTTGTCAAGTGGAAACCGAGAATATGCCTTGACTGTACTTGTTATGAATAATTACTTGAAATAAATCCTTTTCGTGGATTTCATCTTCTGTTGCCCATGTTATTTTTATTGAGTGATGAATTAATGGCTTTTGATACTCGCCTTGCATCTACTTTCTGAGAGTATAAAGTAAGATTTGGTTAATATTGATATTTGAGCTTACAGCTTTTTTTTTTTTTTATTACAAGTAATCATTATACCAATAAGCAGCGGCCCACACCAAACTGTCAAAAGCTGTTGGTGCTTTATTCCCTGAGAAGGAAGGAAGAAATTCCCTGGAAGTTTCCATTCCCTGGAAATTGAATATTTACCCAAGTGACAATCACTTTTCCAAAAGTACAGGCAATTAAAATGAATGATTGGAATTTAACGATAGGCAACCTTTATTTCATTCCCACTTCACAACAGTTGCCAGTCCATTTTTGTTTGCGGTTGCCAGCAAGCGTTTGTTGAAACAGTTGTTCTCTCTGCAGACATAAGGCCCCTCTGAAGGATTAGTTGGTTTTATTTACCTGCTCTGAGGAATGCTTTCGCCCAGTCGCTTTTGTGTCTGTGTAAATGCTCAAGGTCAGGGCTGAGAGTGAGCCTCACCAACAGTTCTAAAAAGCAGCAAAACCTGCAGGACAATGAAGTCTCCTCAAGAATTGGTAGTGGAATTTCTATTCGTGTTGCAACAGAGTTCAAAAGCTCAAACTTTCATTCACTAGTTTTAACACCCTTTAAAGTGTCCATGCACACATACACATTAATCAGAAAAGACAATAAATTGATATAGTTGTATATTTAGCTCTTTGTTGTTGGTGCAACGCCGAGATAGTGAAGAGACTGATCTAGCCATCTTTTATTTGCTGATGATAGAAATTGCAGTCTGAATTTGCATGCCAATAAGGCTAGAGTATTCCCTTCAAACTTTAGTACTATTCTCAATACCCAGTTTATCAGCAGTGCTCACATTCCTATTCCTCTTGTCTAATTGATGATAATGTTCAGTGGAGAGTTCACAAAACAGCACTATTTCACTTTGCTTTGGATGTGATCAGCTTTTGTCGTTTCGAATTTCTTCTGTCTGAACTGGGTTTGGGGCTCAGATGGCTGCAAAAAGTTAGGCTGTCTTTTTTCCTGGCTTGAATAGAAGTTGCATATCAGATCTCAGACTAAACCAAAGGAAAACTCGAGTTTGGGTTTACCTTATAACCGCGAGTTAGAGTCAAAGGTGCATCGTGTATCAGATTTGAAGTGGATGGCTTCCTCCCTTCCTCTCGTTGCACCTGGTGCACCACCTGTTTCATTCCTGCGATTAACTATAAAAATCTCTATTAGATGGTGACGGGAAAAGTGTGTTGGCTAAATGTGTTTAATAGCCAAAAGTGTCGTCTAATCATTTAATGTATTTGATTCCGTTGCATATTTTGTCATAATTCACATGGCGTCGAGTAAAAGTCACATTAAAGACCTCGAAATGAGAAATCACCAAAGAGACGATCTAATAGGCAAGGCGATTTCCAGTAAATATGTTGGTGCGTTTAAAGCACGCAAACAGTCGCCTTTTTAATCTGCGTGAGAGATTTTCAGCTGTTGAAGCTGATGACTATCCTGTTCATATTTAACATGGGACCACAACTTTTCGCAAGCATACAAAATGCAGATCAAAGACTTTTTCGCGTCTTTCCGATAGCCCCTTTCAACGTTTAACTTCATTTCGCATTTCCACACGTTGGTTTGAATGGGTTGGTTTCTCCCACTCGAGCTTTATGCAAACTGAATATGGAGACTCTGACCAACTCTATCCGCTTTTCATTGCAACAATAAAATAGTTTTGTATTTAATTATTGTAGCCTATTTAGACAACTTGTAAGCCATAATTTGTTGTCATGCTGAAACGTGACATCAATGAACGTAATTAGCCCAGTTAATATTTTAATAAACTGCCGCCGAGAACCGACTTTGTAAGTAACAGCAATAACAGGGAAATATTTATGAGCGTTAATAATATCAATAACGATAGCCTAAATCTTCTGATCATTAAAATGATAGGTCAAGATGTTTAATTTCTGCATCATCATCAAAAGATATTCATGAAACAAAACATACAAACGAGCAGTTTGAATATTTTCTTTATCTCATTCATTTATAATAAACATATAAATAATAAATTCTATACATTTCCTGACACCTTGCCTGAAAGACAAGTTAACTGGTATGGCCACTCAATGCTATCCAAACTGTGCATCAGCTGCATTTTATTTCTATAAAACTATTTACCTATTACAAAATATGAAAAGAAAAAAAATACATTTTAGTAAATGTACAGTAGTTATTAATTTGTTTAACGAAAACCTTTGCTCTTTACTGTGGGACTATTATCGTTACTGAATTGTCAGAATGTGCATTTCTCATTTTCTCAAAGACATAAAAAAAAAAAAAAACAATGAAACCAGAGAAGAGTGAACAATGTCGGTCCCAATCTGACAACCAAAGCAATGGTAAAATAATAGAGAATTCTAAAAGAGATAACAGCACAAGACTGCAAAGACTCTGCACCTATTTAAATTAAAATATATTCTCGTATCTTACACTATTTCAAATAACGAAAAGTGATTAGGTAACGATCGGTCAAAATCTAATGTACAATTCTGTGTAAAAAAATATAATTTCTGGAGCCCCGCGGCGTTTGCTTACCCCTAAAATATAACAGTCATTTGCACATATGCACAGAATGTTACAACCTGTCATGAAATTTTCATTATTTTTCCATACATTATCTTTTTTTTTCCTGTTTACATGAGATATACAAAAATAGATTCTGCACCGCTGCTGGATGATCATTCGAATCCGTTAGTGTGCCACCAGCCTGAGTTCACGCGAGAATAAATTATGCAAAGAAAACTTTTAAGGCTCCATTTATTCTTTGAAAATGACATTTTTTTTAAAGTCATTGTAATAAATATCCCAACTCTGCTCGGGGCCTTTGTCTCTTTCTCACTCTCGCTCTCTTTCTCTCTTGTACTAACATTGTCTTATATCCTACATTAGTGTGATTTCTCTTGCTTTATTTCCATATGAAGGTGTTCAGCTTGAGTTTACTGACATCCCCAAAGGATGGAGCATGTGACTGTCCAAAAGCCACGTCCCCACTCGATAGAGGAGCTTGGAGTACCAGTGGACTCCCTCCTGTTGTAAAGTCGCACTGGACTCACTGATTAAGTTTTTAGGGAATAGGACTGATGTCACATCATAATAGAGCCTGACGGGCGCGAAGGCCAAATGCGCGAGCCCGTGGTCCTCTATTACGGCGTAACAGGACGCCAGTATTCTGTCAACCACAATGGTTCCATGAGCAGTCACTGGTGCGAACGAGCCCTGGTGCTCCTCCGTGTATATCCGCTCCACGATGACAGATTTAAGTTGACCGCTATCATCAACAACCATCACCCTTTGTCCGGCCCTGACACTGCTGGCATACGCGGCGGTCATGGTGTGGAGATCATCCGTTGAGTTGTCGAGGACAAAAAGGAGATGAGCAGCGGTGAGTGTGATCTTTTCAACGGGTTCTTTCGTTTCTATGACGTAAAACATACGTCGCGTCGCGGAGTCTCGGTCTGTGAACATGATGAAGTCGCTGTAGACGAGGTTCCCACCGCTGTCCGCCGCCAGCACCTTGTCGCCGGGTTTCAGGTCCTTCACGGCCTTCTGCCCTCCGTCTTTGAGCGTGACCAGAGACGAACCTGGGAAGCAGCCTCCAGATTTTGCAGCAACCGAATTTTCTGTCGAGACAAATGGCAATAGGTGAATGGAACGGGACGCCACATATCAA